CATTTCATGGTTAGTTTAAAAACTCACATCTGCTTGCACGTAGCTTTGTTGTTGAATGTTAACCCTTTGAACTAGGTCGGCAACGTTCCATTTTGGGGAGTTTCACAATGGACTCGAGACATGACCGTAAGTTTTCCCTCCTTTGCATGAACTCTTGATACTCTTGGACAGCACTGACTTGTTTTTACAGAGGGCAAAGCAGGCTCACATTGATGCTTTTGTCTTGAATATGGCTAGTACAGATTAGAACTTACTGACCCAAGTAGCTTATGCTTTTGCTGCTGCCAAGAAAGTCGGTTTCAAGTGTCTTTTCTCGTTTGACGAGACTAGTAACTGGTCATATGACGCCATCATGGGTTACCTCAATCAATACATTGGAAACGATGCATATTACATCTATAAGGGAAAGCCTTTGGTTTCCACTTTCGAGGGAGCAGGAAATGCTGATGCTTGGCGTCAAATCAAGGCACAGACCGGCATTGTCTTCATTCCAGATTGGTCTTCTCTAGGTGCTCAAGCTGCTGTAAAACTTGGTGTTGCAGATGGTCTCTTCAGTTGGGCTGGTAAGTAATGAGTCTTCAATTTGTTTCCTTTTCTGACACAAAATAGCTTGGCCTTGGGGAAACACAGACATGAATACATATGTTGACGCCTCATACAGCCAATTTCTTGGTAAAATGCCTTACATGATGCCTGTAAGCCCTTGGTTCTACACCAATCTGCCACAGTTCCATAAGAATTGGCTTTGGCGAGGCGACGATTTATGGTATGACAGATGGGAAGAAGTCATATATTGGCAACCTCATCTCGTTGAAATCATATCATGGAACGACTGGGGAGAATCTCATTACGGTAAGTCTCAACTTTCATCTTTGTGATTCATGCGTTTTACTACATTTTGCTAATCATATTACGTGACAGTTGGACCTATTGATGAAACAACCATGGGTGCAATGCGCTCTGCCCCTTACAAGTACGTACAATGTCCTCAACTTTTGCTGGCTTTCACCCAGCTTTACTCCCCGATCTCGAGCACATTTTTCCTCTTCTTTAAGCACATCTATTCTTTTACCTATCACAACTCTGTCCTTGATAGACAACGCTAATACCATGATTTTTAACAGTTATGCTTTGGGAATGCCCCATGACGCCTGGCTTTTGTTTCTTCCTTACATCATCGAAACCTACAAGACTGGCTACTCAAGTATAGGCCAAGAAGGAGTCCAAGCTTGGTATCGTCCCAATCCAAATTCTGCAGGCTGCAGCACAGGTGGCACAACAGGAAACACTGCTTCCCAGTCAGTATAAATCAAATCCCTCCTTCCACTTCTCATTGTCAACACACAGTTGCTAATATTGAATGAATTTAGACTGTTGATTGAGTTTCCACCATCTAAGGTGGCGCAAGACAAAATCTTCTACTCCGCACTTCTTTCCTCCGAAGCAGATGTCATCGTTACCATCGGTGGTGTTGATACTGGCGCTAAATGGTTGAAGAAACCATATGGAGGTGTGGGTATCTATCACGGAAGTGTTGACATCAAGGGCACTGGACCTGTGATTATTGTCATCAGCAGAGGCGGCACAGTCGTATGCTCAGCTATTGGTGACGTCCACATCTCCAATGACTGTGGCCAACTAGGACTCGCAAACTATAACGCATATGTCATGGGTGCAACGGGTGATTCATCCCCTGCGTTGCCTGACGCCAGTATCTGCAACTTGAACTGTACCAGTGGTTCTGGCGCTGGCGACTTTCAAAAGCTCTGTGCATATTCTTGTGCACTTGGTTACTGTCCGAAAGGCGCTTGTTACTGTACCGGTATGGGAAAGGCAAAGCTTCCAAAGGTCTCAGGACCAGTTGGCTATCCTATCGCTGGAGCCGATGCAAATTATGAGGGTTTATGCAACTTTGCTTGTGTTTATGGCTACTGTCCTCCAGAACATGTAAGAAAATCTCCTTTCTCAATGTCTAACGTCAAGCTGTTCTTTCATGTCCTCTTTTCCTAAGGAGGCTAGCTATGCTTCACTCTTTCACTTCATGCGGAATTACTAACGTCAACATTTTTTAGTGTGGTACCGTATCCGGTCTGCCGATGGCCACACCAACAGTTTCGCCTTTTACGCCTCCAGCTTGTGTCCTTGGTACTGGTGCTGGCTTACTCGAAGGTCTTTGCAGTTTTGCATGCAACTTTGGATATTGCCCAATCAACGCTTGCGTAAGGAGACTACCTATATTTTGTTTCCCCTCGACTCTGGTGAAAATTTACTAAACATTCAATCTACAGACTTGCACTGCACAAGGTCCACTTAATGTACCACCTAAAGCAAACCCCGATATTGTGGGCGTCCCTGCAGCTGGTCTCGATCATGCTACTTTTGGGCCGCTCTGCCAATTTGCTTGCTGGCATGGATGGTGTCCGAGCGATGTTTGCGTAAGTTGATTCCAGTTTTTCATCTCATGTTGGACTTGCATGAACACTCACGATGGTTTGAATCGATCAATTCGATGGACCACTTGAGCTGGCTTTTATCTTCTGTTCCATTTTGGAAGTTCCACCACTAACATCCCATAGTCAAAACTTGAAGATGGTTCAGGTCCAGTGTATATTGACCCAGCCATATTTACAGCTCAGGACCCTGAAGTTGATTGCAATCCTCCTTGTACATTTGTAAGTTACACATCGAATTAATTGTCCCATACTTTCCATTGAATCAGGAAATGTTCGTGAGAACTATTCACTAACTCTCCCTCACCATACAGGTATTCCCACCCAGTACATATCATGGTGAAACTGTCTTCTCTTTTCCACCAGTCAAAACTACTTTGGTTCTTGGCAAAGGTAATGACGCTACTGTGCTCACCACTGTTGTTACCCCAAAACCAAGTACAGGATCGACGGTCAGTTTCTTCGACATGGTCGTCACTGACGCTTCCGACTTCTCGTTTTCTATGACTTCGATGTTCAAGCCATCTCCTGTGATTATTACAGTCAATATGATCTCGATTGTGTACACAACTCAATTGTGGTTCAATCCTGTCACTTCGCCATCCAACTGGCAAATTGGTGGCGAAGCGTCAGCAACTATCACATCTACATCAACGAATGGCGCTATCATTTTCCCTCCTGTTGAATGGCCGGGTCCATCGGAGACCACTTATTGCTCCAATGCAATCTGTCAAACTTTCTCTATAGATCAGTTTACAAGTCTCTTCAATGATCCTAGCCGCACAACAGCCATCATATCCATTCCGGTACCGACGACCTCAGGACAGACTACTTCTCCTATTATCATAATTACAGTGCCGGTACAATCGTATGGTTACTATTGGCGCCCGTAAGTCAAAATCCTCACTCCAAGTTTTAGCCTCGCAGTTTTCATTTTCTGGTGCAGAAAGTTCAAAGAGCAATCACTAACCCATTATTCTCTAGTAAGCCTAACCCCGTGGACCCTAAAATTCCTTTCCCAACCTTCCCTCCACTTCCATGGCCTCCAGTACCAAAGTTGCCTTGTCTAAACTTTGGACTCATCAAGGTTAACTGCCCCCCAGATAAGAAACATCCCACAACTAGTTTCCACAAAGCTCCGCCAAAGTCCACTTGCACACAACATTGCGGTACTATCTGCACTGTAAACTGCGATACCGCCGGTCAGCCCAGTAGCGAGTCCGAGACTGAGTCTGAGTGTGAGACTTCGACTGTTACAGATGAATTTGGTAAGTCCCCTTCATAGGTATCTATTGATACCTTTTTTGTCTCCGCTTCACTTCTCAAGGCAGAGACAGCTTTGAATTTCTCAGTTGATCTTGAACTTTTACTTGGGCAATCACTAACTTTGTCGATCTCATAGTCTCATGCAAAACTGGCTCATGTACAACTACTAAGACATCGCTGGTCTCAGGATGTACTGTGTTTGCAACAACAACTACTACTGTAAGTAAAATACTTTTTTTGCGCTTAACATCCCCTCATTCCGCACCGAAAGTTCTATAGCAAACAGCAACTAATTTTGCTCTGTTGTAGGAAGCACCTTGGTGTCCAACTGGAGTTCCTGGTGAGCAAGAGGAAGACACAGACAATGTAAATAACGCTCCTGTCGTCTACGGTAAAGAAATTGCCGGTATGCCCCAAAATGGTGTCGTCATCGTGGGCGGCGTGGGAGGCGATCGTCATCCTATCTACTATGCCCCAACCAGCCCAAAGGGGTGGTATTGGTATTATCCTCCTAAGCGCACGGAGGTCATGCTGCCTCCTGAGATGTTGGAGCGTGGTACAGTCACCTCCGCGATATACAGCAGCTTTTTGCCGGCATATCCTACCGTCCTCATCATTCCTCCCATTGTCGGAGCTACTCGTTTGGCACCCTCAAGTCAATATTACGAAAAGCGATACTGGACCACGACCAATGATTGCGGACAGTGTTTCGAGGATGGATGTAAAAAACGAGCTGGAGGTCCTGGCTCACCCGCTTGCTGTTTAGACCATTCGTGCGGACCAATGTGGCCAATTTGCAACTGTAGACCTGATGGTAATTGCGCAGGCACTGATCCTCCATGTTGTTTCGATCAGGGTGGTATCAACTGCCCAGAATTAATAAACCCGGATAGATAATGACTCGATTGGGTTCTCAATTATCTGCAATAAATGTAGACCATAGATACTAGAGTTTTCGGGTACATCCTGTTACAGTATCCGGAAATTAGTTAGACAGCTGTCCACTAATAATAAAATGATACGATTTCTAAATACTTCGTCGTTCAAGCTTGATGATTGTGACTGTAGAAATGATGTATCCTCATGTGTGCAATGTGTAATAGCCATGATCTCAACAAACTGATTCGAATAAATTGTACCAAGAGCACCACATTCCACAATGACAGGAATTTCACCTTTACCAGCAGCGAAGAATTACATATTCTTAGCCTATTTCAAAGTTGCAGCATCACCACTGAAGCTATTCCACAGAGAATCAGAGCTCGAGACAGGCGACCATAGACTCTACTCAGCAATGAGAGCAACCTTAACACCATTCCGACTACTTGTTGAAACCCGCAACTCTTCCACCCATTCTTTCACCTCGTCTCTACACTCCAGATACTTCCATTTTTGAGCCATACGTGCTAATGTGTATGCGATTTCTATTTCTGCGGGATGCTGGGCGGGACATGTACGAATGCCACATCCAAAAGGTATGTAGGCTGCTCCTGGACGGAGAGATGGGTCTTCCCAGCGGGACTGGAGGGGTTGTTAATCAATTTAGGGAGGGCTAAGAGATGGCGTGCGAATGGAGAGAGGACATTAATGATTGGATGGGTGACATGAAAGTGGGAGAGCTGAATTCGGGAGAGTTGAATTCGGGAGAGTTGAATTCGGGAGAGCTGAATTCGGGAATGCGAATGTTGATTCGAATTTCGAAAGGTTCGGAAAGGAAAAAGAAAGTCATTCCAGATTGAATAAGGAGATTACAGACTTAGAGATGTATCAACGGGACATTGGATGCATCAAAAACATGGAAAACTTGGGGCTGACTATAAATCTGTGCACCCACTGATGGGTTCGGTGAAATGTTTTGGGGATGTACGTCTTATGGGGTGGACAGAGTGCGGCCATGGGGAATGAGAAATCTGCTCGACTTACGGGGATGAATTTATCTCCATCTAGCTGAAAGCAATCTGCTAGTCTGTGAGGATTATACAGAGGGGTGATAATCACAGTGTCTTTTCGAATAAATATGGGAGATTTACCATCGGGACGCCACCTCTTGGAAGAACCCCATCCTTGTATGCTTTTCGTGAAGCGATACTAGCTACCGGATAAAGACGAAGTGCCTAAGAGTATCTATTTAGCGATTTCCGGTAAAGATCGACCGGGGTTACTCACTTTGTTTGATGACATTCTGCAAATATTTCAATGTTCTCAAATTATCATGTGTAAATCTCGAGATCGAGGTACCATGAGCTTCTAATACTTCTTGACGAAGCTTTTCCCACACGCTTGGGTTTCAAGAGAGTTGGAGTAGTACATTCCCGCTGGTGATAGCGCTAGATTCGTGTCCCGCAAGGAACGCATGTAGAATTTGACTTCGAAGTTCGCTACGATTGTCGGTCTGCATAGCCATATCGTGTAGTCGAACAGACTTATATCCAGATCTATCTTTTTCGGCAGCTCGCTCTTTTGACAGACGATTGGCACGGTATTTTATCGCTTTGTCAACGTAAAAGTCGGCGAATGCATGTACTACTTTGATAGAATCATAGTTATTTCTTGTCACAATCCAGGAAGGCCAGTTTTCCTAGCTGTAGGCGTGGTCCAGTGCCAAATTGACCGTAGTGGAAAGCGTCGAGAAATTACTGGGATCGAGTAGGTTGCTCCGGAGAAAGCATGTCCATGGATTCGCCGAAGAGAAATTCAGTAGACGTATCGATGAACTAGATACATAGAAATGTAAGCATTGGAATCACATCAAAGAAGCTCAATTCACAAAGATTTTTGGAAGTCGAAATACTACTTTGCATAACAGTGGTTTCAAATCAACAGTGGATCCATCTTCCGGTAACAGTTTCAAGAACTTTTACAGATTCTTCTCGAATGCAGGTAGATTGGCAACATTAGTTCTGGTGAAGGTTGTGCGCATCAGAGTACGTGAATGCTGCCAAAATGGACCATCCTATCATTCAGTGTCATTGATAATTTTTGAAAGAATATTCTCCATAAGTAAAGGCAACGCGAACTTTTCGTAAAAGCACATGGGCCTACGAAACGCGTCGCCGAATCAAGACTGGCAATGAAAATCTCGACATTGAAGTGGAACTATGATCACCATTGTGAATACACCCTCGCCTAAGAAAGAAAGGGTTGTAGATCTCCTCAGAGCCTGTACTCCATAATCTTTGAAGTTTAAACCAAGCATTGTCTGTACATTCAAAGGGTCAATAGTAGCAATCATAGGAGCACCAAGTAGAATCGCGGCAAATGTGTCTCCATACTGTTCAAATCGAATGGTCCATCTTTCTAGTTGTTTGGACTGCTTTGTATGCGGATAATTGGGAGGACGTTGACAGCCATGTTCGCTTTTGATTTGCTGGCGCTTTCTCCAAAGGCGTAAAATTGAAAAGAGAAAGTAGAGTACCGAGACAACTAATGGAAACGACGTGAGACATATCATTTGCGTCATATTTGACAACCGGAATAAGAGGTATGTATCGGGAGTACTGATATCAGAAAAGGCTGCGATGGATATGATTTCCCATGCCCATCAACAGTTGGTCTACTTCTCACGCAGCTTAGGCTTCCTTCGACACACAGAGAAATCTGTTTGATTGACATCATAGGTTCAAACCCCGATTTTACAACTATTGCAATACGGTGCCGCAAGATGATTTAACCGTAGATGGGATAAGAGATAAATGAAGTTCTAGCGTATGTTTTCCCGCCACTTAGCAAGTAAAACATTCCCGGGTTTGGTGCAGATTTCTTCATCAGTCTGTGAATCCGAAGCCAGCGAGGTGACAGAAAAGGCGGTGGCAGATAAAACAAACAATCATGCCAAGACATCAACAGAGAATGGCGAGTAACCTTAATGATGGACGGTCATGTGATTGATTCACACGGGCCCAATCCGAAAAAAATCCTCAATGCTCATCCTCATGAGCTTTTCATTCTATCCTCATCTTTTCATTCTATCCTTGATACGCAGTAAGAGTTTCACGGTCACAAGGATAGATGAGGTATGTGTGTGGGATACTCATTTCATTTATTGAGAGCTAACTCATCAAGACCATAATAACATACAGGTAAAGCGCCGCGCTAGACTAAAAGTGGACCAGAAAGAGATTAAGAAAGTTGAGCTTCACGAAGTTTCGATGGTTCCAGCGCAGATTCTACGTGGTGGTTCATCATCGGTGCAACGCTCTTCAAGAAGCATGCAGCTACACCGCTTGCTGCAAGAAGAGAAGCCACCGCGATCCAAACATATTTCCACGCCTCCACACTCTCATCAATAAGAACAGGTGCATTGGTATTGGCAGCAATTTCTGGTCCTACCAGCTCTGCATATTTGTTATTGTATATAGCAGTGAACATGGTGATGCCGATAACGCCTCCCAATGCACGACAACTGCTACTGACAGTGGCCGCTGTTCCGATTAAGAATGCTGGAACTGACAACCCCAAAGCCACAGTTGGAATGGTGGTAGTCACAGCAGTTCCGAGGCCGAAGAGAGTGGTGAAAGCAAATGCCATAGGGAGTCTGGTTGAAGTTACCATGGCCATAAGACCTGTAAATAAAGCACACCAAAACAAGGATCCGACCAGCATCCAACGGTATGCTTTCGTTGAAGCCATTACCCATCCAGCTGGAATACACCCAAATGCTGATGTAACCAAAAATGGAGAGAGAATGACAGCAATACGAACAGCATCGGCAGTAAAAAGATCGTAGATCTCCTGTGAGTACAAGACATTAACGCCGAGAAGAAGCATACCATCTATTGTGCAAACGAAAAGCAAAATGGGAAAGTTGATGGTTTCGAAAAGTCGATGATCAAAGATTCCTTCGGTGACGACGAAAGCCTCATAAAGTCCGAAAATCAAGAGGCCAATACACCCAGCAGTAAGCGTTCCGATGCATTGTCCCGAGTTCCATGGATGAGTAGTTCCACCCCAGGTAAGGCCGATGATGAGGGAAGCGAACGACCCTGACATGAGGAGAATTCCAATATAATCAATTTCTTTTGTGATAGAACTGAGCATCTTGTGTCGGCCAAGTCTAGGAAGAGGTGGAAAGTATGAGAAGGCGATCATAGCAGCTGTTATTCCATAGATGATGCCGTTGAAATAATACGCCCATCTCCATCCACCAGCTCCTCCGGCATTCACCTTGACAAAAGCGGCAGCAAGAAAAGTGCCAAGAACAACGAAGGCGCTAGCCATGGCTTGTGAGGCTCCCATAGCCCAGGGACGAAGTCTGTTTGGAATAATCTCCTGGATTGCTGAGATTGACACAATCCATGTGCTCGTTAGTCCAAGGCATGTCAGGAAATGTGAAATTTAACTCACACATCCAGCATTAGCAGCTCCACACAAGATGTTGCCTCCTATGATTTGAAGTATCTTCTCTGCTTTTCCTGCAATTACGCTACCAATCAAACCAAGAATGGCACCGCAAACCATAAACCATTTCTTTCCTACTCTGTCACTCAGACTACCAAAAATCGGACCAAGAGCGAGAACGACGAGGAAACTTCCGTTGGCAATCCATGACGAGAGAGCTGCATCCGCTGGACTTTTAGCAACAGAGGCGACCTGAAATTTTATGACGGTGTTGGCCTGCGCAAAGGTGTTATTAGTCGTTGATCAGCTAAGATCGTGGAAGGTGCCTACGGTATTGGCTAGAGCAGCACAAGAATTCGCCATCGAGAGAGAGATAAAAGCTATTATAGTCTTCCAACTCAGTTGATAAACACTCCCCGGCTCATCTTCATTGCCTTGCACCACAACAGCTTGATGATGACGTCTGTGGTGCTGTTCAATAGTCCCTCTCTCGCTATACTCCACGTTGTCGGCTTCGGGTTTTAGATCTAACATGATGGATGAAAAAGGGAGTGAAAAAACGTATGATATTTGCGTCTTTCCCGAATTTCGTATACTTGCAGAGTCTTAATTAAGCATGGGCAAATTCATGATATACAGATTGATAATCCCGTCGGGAAGTGGATGGCCCACTACGAATTCTCTCCATGTGAATCGGAAAAGCCTACTATTTGGAATTAGGGTACGGGGTACCCCGCACGCGCGTACTAGATCCATTCCGTCCACTTTCATTCGTGAAACCCCCGACAAATAGCATTATGTTGAGATATCAAGAAACCGTCAAACTAATAATCCACTTTTTAGTAGTGGTCAAAATCATACATTAGGGTCAATATATTCTCTATCAATGCGGGGACTTGGCTTGTTATGGTTAAGCAATTGTCGGAGATTGCCTACTGGGACGAAGGCTGCAATTCTGGAGGCTGAAGAACGAGACAAATTAAAACTCTCAAAGTTTGAAAGATTTTAAATCAAGCATGTCAGGGTAGCTCCGTGTCAAAAGCCAATTGATTACACCGCCATTCGCATATGGGTTTGTTATCATAGCAACAAAGTTTATTATGGAGAAGTCATCTCTAATTTTCAACTACAAGCATTTGTGATCTTCAGCTTAGGCGAAGACGTCACAAAATTTGTTACTTCTTCCAAGTCCCTGGTGCAATCTACCAATCGACCTCTTAAAGCTGACCCTTTCCCAGCAGCCAAATAAACACACGTCCAAGCTGGTAAATCGATACTGAACTCTGGGTGTGATTTATGTAATTTGGCCATCATTTCAATAACATATGGTGCCTCAACCTTCGTCTTCTCCGGATAAGCGGTCTGATGTAACCCGGTCTTGATCTCACCAGGATGAATCGAGAATACTGAGATACCGTTTTCCTCGAAGCCGAAAGTATCTTTTTGAAGCATATTCAATTCTGTTTGCAAAACACCTCCAAATCTTGTAATGGCTGTCTTTGCACACGAGTACCCTGAAGCCCAAGGCAAGTCCGCACCTGCTGCTCGAGAACTCGTGAAGATTATCGTACCGGAATTCCGTTTCTGCATTGAGGGAAGAACAATTCTTGTTAATTCTGTTGGCGCTTTAACGTTGATTTCCATTTGTTTCCACCATTCGTCTGCGTCTGTGATATGAAAGGGCATGAAAGTATTTGTGCCAGCATTGTTGATAAGAATATCGATGGGACCAAGTTTGCTAGTAACCTAATAGGTCATTTCATCAGTATGTGTTCCATTGATGGACCAAACAAACTCTCAACCATACCTCTCCAACCAAACTTTCCAAATCAGATCGTTTACAGACATCTCCGACAACTCCGATTACTTTCACATCCGGGAAAGATTTCGAAAGTTCTTGAGTGGTTTCGTCTACCTGACTTTCGGTCCTTCCAGTTACTGCGACCGAAGCCCCCGATTTTGCAAGAGCATATGCGATATGCTTTCCAATACCTCTACCTGAGCCTGTGACTAGCGCAACTTTGCCAGTCAAGGACTGTTCGAATTGCTTAGGCTCGATTGAAGGATATATTGAGATTCTCAAGGTAAACTCTGGTTTCGACATCTTTTCATTTCGTGTAACAATCTTCCGAGGTTACTCCTACAGAATGAGTGCGACTGAATAATAGCACCATGGAAACAATAAAGCAGAATAAATTCTTCGGCAATCCACTTTCTTGGTGATGCAATTTGGGGTAAGCGGGAGTGGAATGTGGGGGATGTAGTCTACTTCACCCGCCCCACTACTCGGTCTCGTTTTGAATGAATGCCGACCTCAATTTAGCCAGTGTATATCACACCAAAAACCACTAAAAGTCACCCATTTCAAAATTCTATATCAATTCAATTAATAAGATTAAAGATATCAGATTTTAGGAATCATTAAATATTTAATCAAATTCTATATTTATTTTTTCAAAAATAGAATAATCTTAATCCAATCTTTAATTATTCAAGCAATTAAAAAAGCAGAAGTATAAAAATTAGAACTCGCTAATTTTCAGACTTCAACTCCTTAAAACTAAGGCCTAAAATACTACTTTTTATAAGTGATTTTTCTTTCATCATTATTTCTTTAATATTATATTTAAAGATTTAAAATCTTGATGTATAATATATTAATAGATTCTGTTTTTATTAAAAAAAAATTCAATAAAATATCTATATTAATTCTTTTAATATTGAATTTTGAAAATACTGAATAATCACGAATTTGAGTGAAGAATTCGTCTAAATTTGAGGTCGGCATTCATTCAAAACGAGACCGAGTAACGACTCGAATTTTCGGCAACTAGTATCGGCAAGTGCCAATTATATCATTGATTGGAGTTTCGACCAAAATTAAAGTTCGTTGCTAAAGATATTCCCCGCCATAGTATTAATAGAAATTCCACATTGCTATTGACATTTGACATACATCAAAGTACTGAACTAAAACGACCATGGCTTTCGAAATCTATATCCCTTCAAACCTCACATTTCAAGACTACATTGCTATCACACAATGTAGTAGAACTCTAGCTGATGGATATGATCGAAAAGTATTAAACTCGTGATCTAGTCATCAAAGTTCTTCCTACTAACATAAACACCCAGGACAAAGCACGACTTCGGGCATCTCTCGCACCAAACATCATAGTAGACTATACACTCGTCGTTCCTGAATGGGGCCAACAAATCTTCACTGCAGACGCTTTCGTAGAAGAATGGCTCGGCTCTATAAAACTCGGAGTGAAAGCTCTCGCTACCCAACATCTGTTAGGAGCACCATATTTCAAAAGTGTTACCGACTCGGAAATTGTCGTAGAATGGCAACAACTAGCAAGTCATGCACGGAAAGTAGCAGGCGAGGATTACAATCACCCGCATTGTAAGATTGGGGAGACTTCGGATGGAAGATCGTATATGCAACAGACATTTGCGAGGGTAGAGGGGCAGTGGAGGATTTCGATTATTAAGCCGGAGGTGATATATCACACGGGTGATTTCAGGGCGGTGGGAAGACCAGATGAGTAGCGTAAATATTTTGACTTCTGAGTGCCGAGACATGGATATTTTTGCCGAAAGCCTAAATAGGACCTCTTGCTTTTAAAAGTCAGAGATAGATGTAAAATAATTTCTAACCTATGACTGCTTTTTGACGCATTCAGATCTCTACCAAGATGTGTGTAAAAATAGTCTAGAAGTGAACATAAAACTCTGTCCAGTACAAAGCCTATGTCAACGAGGCTCATTCTAACAACAAACTGATTCACAAACTCACTGTGTATAAGAGGCCCGTATAAAGGGCATAGTTGTTATCCAATACCCAGACATTTACCAATCATCATTCTTGATCAAACCTGCATTTTCCAACATTATCCATGCACTCATCAAATCTGAGCTTTCAAATCAAATACGAAATGCTCAAGACAACGATGTAACATCCCATCTGCACCTTCTGAACACCGTCCACTTCACCCCTACATGCTAAGTCCCTCTCATGAAATTCCGCCTCCACCACCACTTCCCGAATACTTTCGCCTCCGGCAACTTAATAGACTTTCCACTTTATCACCCACTCGATTCTACATAGAACACTTTAACTACGTGTAAAGAAAACATCATTCATCTACATTACTTGGATAGTCATTACTTAAGATAGTGCCTGTCTATACATCTCTATTACGGTATGACTCTGAGCTTCTGAACAATCGGACTCCTGTCATCATTTCAGCATAAAAATTTCGTGAGATATTGCCATGGGGTTGCAAACTCGCCGAATTCACTTCTAAAACCTGCTTAGCCATAGTATCTTCGCTCTGTTCGTCTTTGTCCGAGTCAAGAGTTTTCGGGCCTAGAATAAAACAACCTTTATATCGTACCGCTCCGAATTGTCCACTGTTGTCAGTTCATGCAAAGAGAGTTGTCGTTCATCCTCTTCACGAGAGTTCTCGGTATAATACTTTTCAAGTAAATTTCTCATTGATCCCGTGATAGGCTTTTTTTTGATATTTTTGCGATACTCATAGTTTTTGTGGCCGTAGTGATGCTAGTCTAATTTCCGCTTGAGACCAAACAGTTATTCAAGACTGATGCGAGAGATACGAAGACGAATTTGACGAGACTAGTGGTCATCGTTCCGCAGGGGGGTTTCAATGTTGAGAACGAGTCACCATTTTACCCCTTTTTTATTTGTCAAATTGGCGATTGCTGGGTCGATTTACTTGCTGTGAGATGTCGCCGTGATCACCGAGATACAGCTCAAATTTTGATTGCTACTGTATTTTCTTTCATGGCAAATATCTGTCGAGCCCCAAGACAGAATTCCAAGTTCAAATACTATCATACTTAGGTGCGTTTGGATCGATTTTTGATTTATTTAATGAAATCTCTAGTAACATTAATACAGTAAGGATATTCACACTAATATATTTGAATAATATTGAAAAGTAGTAGAGGTGAATGAAAATGAATATTTGTTGAAGATTTAGCAAATAAATCTTTGAAATACTTCAAAAAGTTATATTGCAAATCATTTATTTAATGATCTTGAGTATTTGATAAACATATTTATTTATTAAATAATTTGAAATAATTTATTTTATAATCTTAAGCATTCGATAAATCTATTATTTAGTAAATAAATGAGGTCTAATAAGGCCTAATAATTTAAAATAAATCGATCCAAACACACCCTTATTTCGGCTGTTGGGCCCAGCATTCTAATTGATATTACTCTTGAGGTACACCGTCCAGCAGAACTCCAAAGCTATTCACTCTCCTAGCTGTAAGCGAGTTGGTGACAGTTAACCGGAAGTTTCCTGTAATAATAGAGATGAAGCATCCCACAAAAACCAACGATTCAACCAACAGATTGTCTAGCATCAAAACATGATCTTACAATCCTCAAATTATGAAAGCCAAATTTGCAACATGGTAATACAAAGCAAGATGCAAATTGCATTTCAACAAACACCGTAGAACATTGCAAAGAGGTAACGTAGTAAATCAGGCAGAACGGTGGAAAGATGCGGGTGGGTTTTTATAGTAAAAAAAGCGGCATGTTGAAGGAAGGTAAGGTATCAAAATGAGGCGATACAGTGAACTTGGACACAAGGAGACACTACATATACAAAACTCATAAAATCAACAAATTGCAATGCTTCACCAACAATGCAGTGTATTTTGCTGGAAATAGGTTGGTAAAAATATCCATGTCATAATGCAGTAAAATATGAATTCGCAACGCTTTAGAAGTGTGCATGGCCAAAGGACAGCTTTTAGTTTCAGGGGTATACCAAAGACTCGACAGAATGCGAATGCAGAAATGCGACATACAACTCGGAAGACTAATATTTTCAAACCCCAATCAGGGGTTTCAGTAGTCCGAACCGCATTCCAAATCTGGATAATATTTAACATTGGAAACCCGGAATGTCTGGGTAATTTTTAGAGTCCCAAATGAACTCCACATTCCAAATTTCTTTCAGAACAAATATGTAACATGAACATATAACTCGAACGGCGAATACTCTTCATTGAGTTACTGCACTGCAGAATTTTGTGGGCTTCTCGAGAAGTTTCGATTGTCCCTAGATAATATTTGCATACGCCTCAGTTTGTGGAAGATCTCTACTTCTCTTCCAAACTTTATGTGGATCGCTTTCCATTCTGCCAGTCTCGGGGTTCTTGATATCCCAGCAAATGTGCCTAGCATGAGTACGTAGAAACGCCTGATCCTTATTCTTGTACTTTTCGGCTAAAACTCGATAACGACTCCTGAAGACGTCGGTGTCGATATAAGCCCCTTTAAACCATCTCTCCCCAACTGATGTATCGAATTCTTTTCTGCCATGAAGTACCCTCCGGTTGTTGAAAATAACACACTCCCCCTCTTGTAGTCTGTATTCATACATGTTTTCAGGTGCCTCTACTCTGGATGCAAATTGCCTCAACGCTTTAGCTATTGGTAGGGAGCCAAATGGCTCGTCAAATGTCGCTTGAAATGGCGGCGAATAATTGATGTATTGAATGTTGTTGTCATTGGGGGATGAAGCGTTCCCACCCTCCTCTGAGTGTTTCGATATTACAGGATGTTTATAGTGATAATGCTCCCCAGCATTGCGATAATGGTAGCCAACCTTCTTAGTACTCAATTGAATGTAATTATCTTTATCGAGTTGTCTGGCAGCGTGGAAAGCATCAGAAAAGATGGATGAGCCGCCTGAGCAGGTATTCCGTAGACAGTGAAGAAATTGAAATCCCGGGGGGTTAGCCATATAGAGAAGATCCATGTGTAAACCCAGATATTGAGAAGTATATGCTACATTTTTAGGTTGAGGAACAGACTTGACATCCCAGGTAACTCCGTAGAAAGTGTCCCGAAGATTGCCAATGCGCTTTGCAATATCAACAACTGAAGTTTCTGACTCTGGTACATCTCTAAGTATGAGTAGCCCATAATCCCGAAGCATGATCAAAGCTCTGAATAAACCTTCTTCACTGTTTATGTAGTCATCAAAAGTTACATATTGCAACTTCTGAGCAATGGTTTTCGAATCCCATCTGATTGGTTTTACATCATTGTGACGATCGGAATGATAAGCCTTGAGTGAAGAATGGGTATCAAAGAACTTCTTAGAGAACGACGAAACATGATCTGGTCCGTAGCCTGGAATATCGTCTTCCCAAGAAATTGTTAAATCCCCGTCTTCGCCCGTTGTGGTAGCGGTAGCTTTGATATTAGACGGAATATCAGAAGTTTGAAAGTTCTTTTGCTTTGTGGAAGGATCAACGCATCTATGGCAGGTACAAGAATCGCGGAGGAACAATAGAGGATAAGATACACCGTTGATCTTTATGGCCTGAATGTCATGAGATGTAATCTCAGGGCTGGAAGAGGATTTTACATCCTGACTCAGGTTAACATAAATCTTAGTCGATCGCCAGGGGTGCTCAAGAATACCTGTGGAACACGTGTCTGCTTGGATGTGGGAGATGCGATCCGGAGACCTGGTTGAGCTGAAAATAGCCTTCGACTAATTTGAGAGATGCGCGGGGCAGCTAGAAAGCAACATGATCTGGCAGCTCGGTGACCACAGTTCAGACCAAGACGCAAGGCACTCATATTTGAAATTTCGTTCTTTCACGGCGCGAGTGAAGGATCGATCGCCTGATGAATGAGAATTGAACAATACTGATATGAGAACTTATTCTTCACCGAGGAAACATATATCAATCAGCCTTTACCGAGGTGATTATAGCTTCGATGCCACGTGAGCCCCTCCACCAAGCTACATGATTGATCAAATGGAGCTTGGAGCTTGGACGATTTTGACAAGCTCAATTATGTAATCGTCCTTCCGGTGACCCACCAGATCAAGGTAGCTGCCGCTAACCTTCTTTCAACATAGTGTGCTTTTATTATTTGTTGATTTTCTACTTCTATACCCCCCCTGTGTGCAAATAGGCGTGTGGATTGGTATTTATTTTCAAACGTCAAACTCTAATAATACTACTTCGAGAACGTCAGATGTATGTCTGAAAGCGCCGAGCATCTGAAGGATGAGGTGAGGTTTAACATTTTACAATTGTTACTTGCGTCTCACAGAATCAGGGACTGATACTTATCTAGGGCTCCAAGACCCAATCAATGATAGCTGGTGCGACAGCTGGTTTGATTGCTAGGTAAATCTACAATTGATCGAGATTAAAACTATTTGCGCTCATATCTTTCAATCAGATTCGTGATTGCTCCTTTGGATGTTGTTAAAATTCGCCTTCAATTGCAATCGCACTCTGCATCCGACCCTCTTTCACATCGGGATCTGCGAGGATCTCCAATCTATAAAGGGACGATTCCGACGATCAAACGTATCTTTCGAGAGGAAGGGCTGTCGGCATTATGGAAGGGGAATGTTCCAGCAGAGTTGATGTATGTTTCATACAGTGCGATCCAATTCACGACATATAGATCTGTTACGCTGGGCCTACAAGACGCTTTTGGGGAGCATCGACTACCAGCTGCTGCTGAAAGCTTTATTGCTGGAGCATCTGCAGGAGCTGTTGCTACGACCGCAACTTATCCTCTTGATTTACTCCGCACACGATTCGCTGCGCAAGGCGTTGAGAGGGTATACACTTCTCTCCGATCGTCGATCCGTGATATCGCCATTAATGAAGGGCCGAGAGGCTTCTTTCAAGGACTTGGTGCTGGCGTTGGGCAAATCATACCATATATGGGTATTTTTTTCGCCACATACGAGAGTCTCCGTCTCCCAATGGGAACTCTAAACATGCCCTTTGGATCTGCGGATGCGAGTGCCGGGGTTATAGCTTCAGTCATAGCAAAGACTGGCATATTTCCTTTTGATTTGATTCGGAAGAGGTTGCAAGTACAGGGACCAACAAGAGAAAGATACGTTCACAAGAACATCCCAGTTTACAACGGTGTGTTTCAAACAATGCGACACATATTACACAATGAGGGCTATCGAGGACTCTATCGAGGATTGACGGTCAGGTATGTGAAAGAATAATTCAGGATCTTCTGATGCTAATATCAATAGTCTTTTCAAGTCTGCTCCAGCAAGTGCCGTTACTATGTGGACATACGAACGAGTTCTTGCAATTTTACTGAAATGGGAGAAATCCCAGGAACTTTCAAAGTGATTTAAGGGTGTTTTAGAGTACATAAGAGCAGTGGAGTCTGTAGAGGGGTAGACGGTTGTAGTGATTCTGAGGGGTACAATAGACTTTTAGACAACCATAGACATAGAATACATAATTAGTACCGTGAATTACCCATATCTACCAAAATGTACTCCGCAAAAGAAATTACTTCAAGGGGGTAAAATAGCTAGACAAATGATAAAAAGGATAAATGGACAGAAACGGGTGGATGAAACGACATCAATGCATCGCGACTAAACAAGCCTCAGAATTCACGTGTGTATGCCAGATTTTGCGGTACCACTCTCTCTCTTTCTCGGGCGGAAGGAAACTGATTCAGTCAGTTTATCCTCGCCGTATCACAATTCATTATGGCTTTCAACACTGCAGCTGTTCTCCACAGAACTTCTAGAGGTATATCTTAGTTAATGAGATTAAGTTTGTTTTTATTTATTTCATCAATCTGAGTTCTTCTGTACTGTTGTTGTTGTTGTTGTCGTTATTCAAAATCTCCAAGTGTTTTGAACTGTCCTTTCGCCCAGTCAAAACTCTTACAATTGCCATTAACACCCCTCGTCAAAGTAAATTCATTTGCATGTGATAGTCAACCTAACAACACATCAATATCAATCTTGTCAGAATGTCGACAACTATTTCAGCTCCCAGAGCAGAGCAATTATTATCGCCCCTATTGGCATCTCTACCCGCGGCTTCTGTATCTCCTCAACCTCCAACGGCGCTGCTTCCTCTACTTTCGCCGATTTTACGTCAGAGAGTCCAAATATTATCTTCGACTTCGAACGAGCCATGGCTGCCATTACTCTGCTACGATGATTCAAATGTCTCGAAATTACAACAAGCTATAAAAAATGACAGATTAGAAGCACATCCCGTTTCTGGTGAGGTTGAGGTTGATTGGGAGAGTGAGGTGGAAATCCAATATCGACGACTCGATGAAGAGACCTTACAAGCTCTAGTTGTACTTAGAGATCTTGCTTTAAGTGCACGACTTGTATGGTGTGTTGGCGATGAACTCGGCGGTGGTGATGGATGGAGGATTGGAGAAGTGGGAGCATACGAATCTGAAACCCAAGAAGAATGGGGAAAGAAAGACATAGCTTCTGCAGAAACTGCCTTTACATCGGGGACTTCGAAAACATCTACACAGACAAATGGCAGTCTCTCAAGTGTCTCGAATGCAGCTAAAGATACCGATGCAGAGAATGACGATGATGATGATTACTGGGCTCAGTACGACAACACGCCCGCTCGTACGCCCGCACCAAAACATTCTCCCGCACCCCAGTCTATGCAAAACGTCTCGAGGAGTGCAGACGATGAAGACTCATACTACGCACAATATGCGGATGTACAACCTGCCATGGATAGCCATGATCCAGACGAGGCAGCACAAAATGGTACCGTCGAAACGTCTCTTGGTCAAGATGATCAAATAACTTCCACGCTACAACAAAATCTACAACATCACACATCATCTCATGAGGCGAAACCATGGTCAGAGTCTAGTAGCGGGATCATCAATGGAGGGGATTATGTTGAAGTTGTACAACCACGACCAGGAAGTAGAACTAGCTCAAGTGGGAGTGAGACAGTGGCGAAACTCGAGAAGAGAGCACACGCTCGGGAACAGAGTGAGGTTGGCATCAAACAACATATTTCGACAAGCGTGAAGAGTCTCTACAGATTGGCGAAAGTATCAGGGATTGAGAGGGCCGAATTTGACAGGTTGATTCGAACAGAGTTGGATTGCTTGAGTTTGATGGATGAAGACGAGGATGATCAGTGAGAATGTTTGCTCTAAGTTATGAATACAGTAGCATATTGACATCAGCGATGGAGTTTTGGCATCTTCACTGTGTGGCGTGAAATATCTGGGACACTTGTGGATCATATTAAGGGAATCCATAGCTATGAATGACAAAATCGGCAAAAAAAAATGCCTCTTGCGCACCTAGGTACCTACGTGTTGACTGTTCAGATCGATTGCTCAAAGGTTGCATTATATGATTGTATGATTATCGTCGAATTGTCCCATTCTTACCCACTCACTCAAGTGCACCAAAATATACTCCGTATAGTTCATTGGTGAATGATAAGACGGCTTTGGGGCTTTAAGTTTTCCGGCACCGAGAGTACCTGCCGTTATCAAGTCTCAAAAGCCATTGAAGCACAGACTAATAAACCCGACTTTCTCCAATGATTCGGATCCTTGGTGCTTTTATACTTTTAACGCACCCTTAATTTTTTAATCTCCTCACACTATTGTGACCCCTTCCCTCGAGGGAAAAAGACACGAACACCTAGAATCTGTAGTAAATTTTGGCAAAGGTTTTAAGCAAATGTGACTGTCGAATAACTGAAAATCGGGGGATATCAAAAGCCAATTGCGCCTTGACTAAACTCTCCAAATTTCCCCAGCTTCATCGATCTCGAAAGTACAAGACACAACAATTAAAATGGATCAAGCAGATATACCTTCGTTGCTCTCGAGGCTCAATAGCGATGAGGATGCTATGCGCAAAATGGCAGTATTTAAGCTACAATCTTCCATTAATGATCCATCATTCGCAGATGTGTTCATTTCCTCAGGGGGCCTCACTATCCTGCGTCGACTGATCATGACGACCAATGCGAATACTCTCGCATACTCCCTACAAAGTCTGAGTCGCCTACTGGAAGTCGATATGGGTTGGGAAATATTCGAGTCACCAGGTGCCGGGGAATTGGTCGAACGTGTTGTCGAATTGATCGTTACACATCCACTGGTTAACATTCTACGAGGAGCCATGTCGATATTGGTTGCTATTGTGAGCCATCCACAATCTTCAGGGGGGCGTATAAAAATACCTGGCGCATTTGGATTTCGAGCTCTGAAACCTGCCGTCGCGGTTTATCCTCAATTCTTCGAAATGGTAGTCTCCCAACTGAATTCTGCGGATCATTTACTTTGTGCAAATGCACTGATGCTGCTGAATGCATTAATGCGAGATTCGATTACAAATGATAACGGACAGGGAAAGGATAATGTTAGTAAAAGTAGCGGGACGGGAGAGGAGTGGCCAAAATTCATCAAACGTTTACAAGATTTGGGGGTTATTAAAGCTGCATATAATTTGATGCAAAGCTCGGCATTACAAGATTTGTCGCATCCGCTATTGGAATTTCAAAGTTTGACCAAGGTTTTGTTGGGTAAATGGAAGGAGGTGAAGGTGGATTTGGAAAGACCAGAACATCGACGAGCACTAAAGGGACTACATCTAGCCAGCGCACCCGAAAAGAAAGATCTTAGCAATGGAGCTTCAGAGAAGATAGATACTTTAGAGAATGGCGACAAAAAGGGGAGTCGGAAACACAATCCTGAAAAGTGGAGAAGGTTGGGCTTCGAGACCGAAAGTCCTGCTTGGGAGTTCGAAGCGACTGGATTCCTTGGTATGATGGACTTGACCGATTACGTCAGGAAAAATGAAGACGGGTTTCAAAAGCTTTTGTTAGAGCAATCTTCTAAGCCATTAAATGAGAGATGTCCTATTGCAAGGGCTAGTCTAATAGTTACATCTATCTTGTATGACCATTTCGAGGTCGACAAATCAGATGCAGAGGATGCGAAAACTTATTTGGTATTGGACGGGGTAAAGAATTACGATAAGATATTCCGGCCTCTACTACTCCAGTGGTCAAGGCTACACTCAGCGAGTTTGCAAGCTTTCTTTAGGTTATGGAAAGCTACTGGTGCTGAGCAGGATGATTTCATAAAAGTTGCGGAACTTGTACGCATTTTGGTTGAGCAAGTGGTTGGTCAAGCTTCAAGAACAAAAGATGTTCTAGAGGTAGAAGAAGAATTGGCAGAATTCGAATATTCGAAATTACGAAAGCTACAAATGGAGTTGTTGGAATTGACTTTCGAAGACGAATGGGGTCAACATTTACAGCAAGTGCGAGATGAGCTTAAACATGAAGCTCTTTTATTTGTTAAGGAACAGAGAATAAGATGTCTGCTTGAAGGAGCATGGTTTCCAAGAATTATTCACCCGAAAACCGTTAGCGAAGAAGGATCATCTTCTACCAAAAGTCTAGGAAGAAGAATACCAACAACGAGTTGGCGTTATGTCAAACTTTCACACAATCGGCGTTATCTTCATTACTTCGATTTTGACCATCAATTGAGTAAAGAGCCGACACTTGATCAATTGCTCGAAAAGATTGACTTGAGTACCATTAGTTCAGTCGTTTCCAATGTCTCCGCGTCCCATGACGACGGTTCAAGTATCTCCAGCTCCTCGACCCTCAAAGATACAAATCCATCAAAAGCAAATACCACCACCAAAATTACTATCAATAGCTACGTCACAGAGACTAAAGCACAGCAAGATGATACAGATCCGGCTGAGAAAGCTATTCTTACACTCATGCCTCCTACACATAGTCTTGCTTCGGAATGGTTGGATGGTTTGTTGATGTTGTTGAACCAGGCGCCGATTACTAGTGAAACCAATAAACTTGTGAGCTTGGTTAGTGAGTATGGATTGAAGATTAGGCTTTTGAATGTTAGGTTAGATGAAGGAAATGGGTATGGAGGTCCCCAGGTAGGACAGGGTAAAGTGCCGAGTCGGGAGGGGTTAGATGAGGATTATTACTATGAAGTTTAATGGGGTGTGGATTAGAGTGTAGCGGGTGTTGCCAGCGGGGTCGGGTGGATAAAATATTCTGTATATCAATACGGAAAGGAGAGGACCTGACAGAAGTAAGCGAGGACAGTGGAAGTAGCAGGTTTTTCTAACTTTTCCTTTTGGTATTTCTAGATACCGTGGTTTTTTTGTAATGATACCCTGGGTTGGTTTATTGGGATACTTTTTATGTATAATAGTGTCTTCTGGTTCACTATGGGATTTAAATATATGCATACCTAGGTATTGGTAGATATTTAATCACGTTAATAGCCTTGCATTTGTAAATTTCTGAACATTCGATATTTCAGGACACGACATGACAGAAATGGGTTTAAAATTTCGAGATTGCTACCATATGAAGCAATATACCAAAGACGAAAAAGCGTATGCTATAGGCATTTTTCCGTATCTCTACAGAGCACTGTCCTGCATCTTCGCAACCTTTAATCGTTTCCTCCTCCACCCATCCAGCTACAATTTCAATCTCCTTTCCTCCTCACCTAAAAACTCAAGCCCGACCCCCCTCCCTCAACAACCAAAAACAAAGTCCATTTCCCACCCACCAAATGTTACTTCTCACATAACTCCACTTCACACTCTCGGTTCCCACATAGGCAATCCAATACGCCAATCGGATCCCCACATAGGACCAGCCCACGCTCGCAATGGTGTCTTCGGAGACGCCTCTGAAAGATGCAAAGAGGATTGCCGCCGCAAAGAGGGGGAAATTGTCTAGAGCGTTTTGTTGGGCGGCTTCCCAGCGCAAAAGCATGTTGATGGTGGAAGGGGAGAGATCTTTGGGGGGGAAGTTGGCGAGATCTTGTCGTGGGGCGGCGTTGGAGGTTTTGTGGAGGATGAGTCGGGGGAGGCGCGCGGATTGGAGGAGGTGGGAGAAGAGGAATTGGGTGGTTAGGAGGGTGGGGATGGGGGAGACCATGGTTGGGGTTGTGGTTGTGGTTTTTGATGGAGGGGTGTTGATGGAGGGGTGTTGATGGAGGGGTGTTGATGGAGGGGTCTTGAGAGAGGGGTTGTGGATGAGAGTTGTGTTGATACTGGTGATTTTGATGTTGAAGACGACAAATCAAAATGGACAAATTGAATATGATATAAGAATCTCAATAAATCAAAGAATGACCTCCAAATCTCGGGGAAGCAAACACTTAAGAAGATCCTTCATACCCCGGAAATTCATTAGCAATAGTCTGTACACTGTACAGTAACTTTAAATTTCCGCCCACCAATGCAGAATGAATCCATCCAGAATCCAGAATCCAGATACATGATACATCCCCGGTACTCTTGAACAAAACGTTGTTCGACTTCCACTCGTCAGATTCCCGTGGAGTAATTTCGGTGCATCGTGCCTACAAACCTTCTTTTGACATTTTGCAACTTTTGCTTGCTTGGGAACTTGGGATCTTGGCTTGGATTCTCCACCATCCATCCATCCATCCGCTTACCTTAATCCCTCATCTTATCTGATAGTAATCTTACATGTACACCTACCTACACAAGTGTGGTGGTGTCAAAAACAGAGTTCTCGAGAGACATATCATTGAACGCTACCAACAATTTCCAAACCAAACACGAGTAATGTCCTGAAACCAATTGGCAAATCATATATGCGCCAAGCAAATCCTCGATAGTCACAAAGTTGATTCAAAGACTCTGCATCGTAAGTACCATCCATCCATCCCATTTCTCGGGCATCGGCGTCCGCCTCGGTACATATCTGGGCACGTTTGATGTTCGACAGACCCCAAGCTTCTTCCAACCGTTTGAAACACAAACCTCGAGGCTAGTACCAAGTCGTATTTTTGCGTCCACCTTCACCTCCTCTTCTCGTGATTTTTGCATCTCGTTTTTGCTGCTTTTGTTGCATGTCTGTATTTTTGCCCAGCTTTTACTAAGTCTTTGCTTGTCTTTGCGTTTTGATCTTGGATACCCGCGGCGTCTTGGGATTATCTTATTTGCCGGTCATTTCGGAGGTTTGAAGATTTTTTTCCTTTTTTTGCTTTTTCTTGATCGTCAAGGGGTAAATCTTGGCGTGGGTGTCGAAGGTGCGAGGGTGTATTGTTGTTTTCTTTGTCGAATTTTGAATATTGAGATACAATTGATAGGGAGTATATATACCTATATATATATATATATATATGTCTGTATATATATATATATATATGTGTCTGTATATATATATCAGTCAATGTACTCTGTATTGTCAACCACCAGATCCAAAGTTAGTCCAGCAATTTCCAATGCCCCGTTCCCAAAAAGCCTATCTCTTCTTCCAAGATTCTCCATAATCTTGGGTTCATCTCGGTACCGAGGACGGAAAAATAGCCAAGCAGCTCGTCCAACTCGGGTTTCTCAACTTTTCCAAAAGTTTTTCCACACAACACCAAGACACAGACTAGCATCTTAGGTTCTCTGGGCAAGAAAAACAGATATGCAACAAAAGGCCTTCCAACACCGATTCTCCCCCTGATTATTCCCGAAAACTTATATCCGAGGATCTTGGTCGCACACCCAAGAAATTGGCGAGGTCACCAAAGTCTCTAGGTTCCTGGGCAAGAATTCAGATGTGCAACAATGTGATTCAGTTGCCAAATAGTACCCGCGATATCCGCGGCATACAGAGAGGGGTCTGGTATGACACCACGATATTGGCGAATACGTAGACCAAGAATCTGGGCGAGGAGAAAGATATGCAACGTTCCTTTTGGGGGACAGATGAACCAGTGATAACATGGCTGATTTTCTGGGCAAGATTGACGATATGCAACAGCAAGACTCTTGATCGTTAGATTTATCATGCTAGAGTATCATAAGGACTATGCTGTGTGAAAATGAGATTAAACTTCATGCAAAAAGAAATCTCCGGTATACAGACCAAGACATGGCTCCTCTGGGCATGAGATACGATACGCAACAAAACTCTCGAGTCGACAGACTGCGCACTCAGATTATCATTCATATCACCATATTTAGTACCTTTGTGTCAAGGTGACGAAGCATTGGTATAAATATAGATATGTAACCAGTCTCGATGTACAAACTCATGCACTCGATTCTCTCGGCATAAAAACCGACATGCAACAAAAGTATTTGCACACCACTCCATCACATCAAGATACTCACTCAAGTGTTATACCACATTCCGCCCAGCTCTCTGGGCACACTGGGCACGAAAACCGATATGCAACAAAAGCTCTCCAGATACACGTACACCGAATCACTACACCCCTAGTACCACACTAAACTCTGGGCTCAAAAACAGACATGCAACAAAACCCTCTCTCTGGAATCTCCACACCGTTCTACATAAAACCAAGAGACTTAAGTAGTGATACCACATTCCGCCAGTGCACTGTGCATACTGGGCACGAAAAGCGATATGCGACAAATCCCTTCAAATACCTCGTACACATACATCTACAAACTCCTCACACTCACACTCCAAAGCCAACCCCCAAGTCCTTACCACGACGCCAGATTCTCTGGGCACAAATACAGATACGCAACAAAACAACTGTCCCCCTTTTCTAACCAATATGCGCGCGCAGAATCATGAGAAGGTACTAGGTAGTATCACCTGGGTACAGAGTACCACACACATATGCATGACTCTTGGTATCATGCTATGTGCTGGGTATGGAAGTAGATGTGTGACGAAATTTCTTGAGGGATTTGGGGGGTTGTGTTTGGGATTTATGAGGTGCTGTTTTTGTATATGTATATGCAAATGGATGGGTAGGTGAGTGAAATAACGAGATTTAGATCGATGTCTTTCCTTCTTTCCTTCCTTCCTTCCTTCCTTCCTTTCTTACCTACCTAGCTATTTATTTCCCACATCATCAGAAGTGAGCTCTCCAGTCCAGTCCAGTCCAGTCCAGTCCAGTAATCTCAATACATATAATAAATAATCAAATAACCAAATAACTTATCCTTATCATTCAAAAAAATTAGAGGTTTTCTATCCATCTATGTATCCTCATTACATACTTCACTCTCCTCGCTACCCCAACCTAAAACCCAAAACCCAATCCCCAATCTACCTCCTTCCTCACCCCCTAATCATCTAGAAATCCTCTCGGTTATTTTTCTGATCTCTCTCTCTCTCTCTCTCTCTCTCTCTCTCTCTTCCACCCCCCCCTTTTCTCCCCCCAATCTCACATGATAGATATACAATTCACGCTTAAATTTGTCCTCATACTCATACTCAAACTCAACCTCAACCTCAGATGCAAATAGATTCCTTCAATATTTAATCTTTAGTTTAATATTTCACATTCAACATAACATCTCATAAATCTTTCACAAATGAAAATGAAAATAAAAATGAAAATGGATGAATGAATAAATGAGTGGATAACATACAGCACAAGATGAATATGACTCTAAACTAAAGAGATGATAACGACGAGTACAGACTAGACTATCCACATCCTATTTGTTATTCCCATCGCATCAACTCAAGAGTCTTCCACACGGGGTGAATATCAATGTATGCACTCGGAATCCGGGTATGTCATTCAGACTATTGTCTAAACTGCTGACCCAGATCTCAACTCTACAATCAAGAAGTGCCTACCTAGGTAGGTATGTAAACGAGAAAAGTTCGATTCACTGCCGCTGGATCAAAAAAATTGTTAGACAAACGAAAGTAAAAATACCAAATCCAATTCAATTATGACTTTCTTTATCATTTTTATCCTATCCTTTATCATTTTCAACTCCTCTTTGGTATAAATATTCCAAAAACGCCATTCTATTTTTCGGTTCCTCCTTAATAGCCCAATTCCATTTTAGTTTAACTCTTCCACTGGCTTTGCAGCCCCCTTTCCTTGGTTTTCTACCAATCTCTGTGAATTCGTCAGTAAATGTCTTTATTTGTCGAGATACGGGAGAACTAACCAAAAGATTTCTCAACAAAACAGCAATTGTAACTTTTCCAATGGAAGGTACATAAATCGAAGCCTTCTCCTTCACAGCAGGACCGTCAAAATTCTTTTGAGATGAGAAATTGATACAGACAGCGCCATCCCTGATCAATTCAGTGTTGATCTTGAACTTTTCTCCTGGCACACCGGAGATGACCACATCACTCTTGGGCAAACATTCATCATTCTTCATTCCTTCCATGTCGTGTACCTCGTGATGGATCTTCTTGATACCCTTGCCACGGGTAAAGAGCTTTACGCCGTCGAGATCGCAAGAGTAGACTGTAGCACCATCATTTGCAAGTAAAGCAGCCAATGGACGACCAACAACCTCTGAGCGGTTGAATACTGTGATCGTCTTTCCGTATAAACGGTTGCCATATGGGAGAACTGAGTTGTAGATCTGTAGGTGTTCGAGAACCTTGACGACTGCTAAAGGTGTGCAAGGTAAAATCGATTTTTGGGTATTGTGAGGAGCGTCAAGGAATCGAATATTTTGGTACATGTTGAAACGGTAGGTATGCGCCAATCCTTCCACATCTTTGTTGAGAGCAACTATTTGCTGGATATATCCATCTTGTAGAGAAGGGGCAGGGAAGATTGGGTAGTATACGATGATACCGTGAATGGAATCGTCGTTGTTCGCTTTGAGGATTTCATCTTCGATGTCTTCCTTGGTGAACTTTCGGAGTTCGAAATCGAAACCACTGGATAAAAGAAGTCAGTTCGTGGAACTATCGAAGTCCAACTACTTGTAGCTTCGACAAGATCGTGAAAATTCCCAAGTCTTGAACTAGAAGATTGATAGTTCGTGGGCGCAAATGATTTCCATTTCAATGTCTTGTAATCTAATATCCAATTTCTCTGTGCTTTTCAGATCTTTTGATTTGTGAATCGTTAAATCACTCCCATCTTTGAAGGAAGATATGGTATAGTATAGCAAACGTTTGGCTGCAAATCTTCTGGTGTATAGCAAATGGAAAACGAATGGAAGAATACTCACTTCTCAATGCATGTGGCCATTGACCAGTCCGCATACTGCTGGGCTGCAGGATCTTCATTTGCCAACAATCCCACAAGCTTGGGCTTGAAGGTTAACTTCTCTAGATCCGTCGCAACCTCTCCAAGCAACTTTTTAGCAATTCCTTGAGCCAAGATGACCTTGCAGGTCGCTGGGACAGGAGAAGAGGACATCTTCGACTAGATTTGGAATGACTTGCAGCGAAGGATTTTGGAGAAGATCGTGGCACAATTTTCGATAGAATCACAGTGTTTCGACAAGGGTCTCGTGTACACTTGGGTTGTTGATAGGAAAATCCTCTTCTGGAAGGTAACAAATCAGGGGAGAAGTTTTAATGAAACATGTGTGAAATAAAATTTTCTTCCCAATGCTTATCTTATCGCACTTTTTTTTGGAGGGGAAATAGAGGGGTAAGTCAGGGGTGTTGATTGGAGCTCTTTTACCTCACCGGAGTCAGTGAAGGGGACAATACAAAGATGATGTATAAAAAGAGTAACAACAAGTACTCGATTCATTGGAAGACTGTCTCTTCTCCTGATGGATGTACAATGTGAATCATCATGAATCAGAACAAACATGATGGGAATTCGAAGTGTTACCTCACACAGTTCCCGATGTTTCTCCGTTGACCGCCTTACCGGCAGAAAATTTCCCCTCAATCAATTCTAGAAGCTCAATTATTATTATGGTTGTCTGAGAATCATAATCATCGATCGGAGTTTACATAGGTAGAAAAGAACCTGCCATTCAAGAGTACATGATTTGCAATCAGTATTATATCTCACTCGTCTTTACCCTCTTCTCTTGTATAAGGAGAACTGTTCGTTTTGATACCATTTCTATTCATCAGCCATATACCATTGTTTCTACAAGCCTACATACCTCGCTTTTCTTATTGGTGACTCGAACTGGTGCTACATTCCACGACAAACGTATTCCTTCAGAGTGAGTCGCTTCTGTTTTATTCATGTATTAGTCCATCTTATGCGCTGGTTGATGGCGACAAACATGCCTTGTTTGGCTCTTTTCTGGAACTATTCCTAGATGCGGCGGGGCGCGAGTGTATATATCGTTTCCATTATTCGAAGAGGCTTCAAAGCTACCTAGCATTTCTCAACCTATGTCCACGATCTTACTAGATGGGTTATCTGGAACTCTTTCCAAGTACCTGGTTATCTGAGTTTCAGCCCCTCGAGTTCAATTGACTTCGGTCCTTGACCGATCCTCTTGCCAGAATGTTTCGTCCTATTTCCCCCTTCTCTACCAATCCGGACCTCGATCTCGACTTTGGGGTGAGACATGGCACCTGAAATTGCTCTCCGAAATTCTGCGACATCTTTCCTACCCTTGTGGACAATACGTACGCTATCGTTCATCCCACTAGCCCTCTTCGTATTGTCGCGACCTGGACTACAATCCAGACAAATGCTTTTTCTCCTGCTCCAAAGCACCGGCTACCTAGGCGCACAAAAAGACTACATATCTATAATCACTCGATCTCTTGAATTGGTACACATTTTACTGGGCACCGGCTAGCAGTTGAATCTAATACAGAATGTGCATGTTCTTAGGTAGCTAATATTGGGTTTTCTATAGATTAGGCGCTTCCAACTACCGTCGCCCAATTTAAGTTCCCTTTCGGATAGTCTACTTCCCATTAGCAGGCTACGATAAATAAAAACAATATGGAATCTACGGTGGTTGAGTTTATGGCTGCGCAGGCAGAGGAGGACAAGTCAGCGATTGTCAATCGAAAAGTAGAAAGTACGATTTCGAAGCTTTCAGCCAAACGTGTTGGGTTCAACTTTCGCTAAACTTTTGGATAGATCTCGCTGCAATTAGCAGTCTTATTGCGGAGCTTGGTCCATATATAGATGGCGAGGCTTCAATGGAAGATTGTCAGAAAGGTGCAACCCATTTGAGTAGATTGGGTTGGAACGTATTTCAGTGCTGACTACGTCCAGGGTTGGAGTTCCTGTTTCTTGTACTACAAATTGTTGACCCCGGAAAGCTCTCAAGGCATGATCGTAAGTAGAGCGAGTGATATGTGTATTGGGCACAGGTGCTAATATACACCAGTGAGCGCTCTTGTGGAGTATTTGACAAATCGGGTATCCCAGGCTGGGGAGGTTCAGATATACCGAGCTGGTCTCCTGGAAATTGCTAAATGTCTGACCACCATTGCAAAGATGCCCAGGTTTATTAAATCAAATGCACCTGATATAGCGTCGGCAGTTTTCCGTCTCCCAGACAACAAGCAGTCTCTAAATGACTTCCCTCATTCTACGCGATTAAGTCTACTCAATCTTCTCCAATGTCTGCTGGAAGCATATCCAACAGCACTTAAATCCTCGCTGGGAAGCAAGTTCGTGGATGGTATGGCTTCCATGGCGGCAATTGAGAGAAATCCATCATGTATACTTGCTATTTTCAAGATTTATAGTCAATTGGGCAAAAGTTGGGATATAAATTCTGATGAAGCTGAAACTTTGTTTGGATCATTCTTTCGTTATTTTCCCATTACAACTACTAAATCAGCAACGCCCTTGAAGCCAGAGGAGGATCTAAAACGCGGCCTTTTGGACTGTTTAATATCAAACGATAGATATGCACCTTTCGTTTTCCCAGCACTATTCCAGAAATTAGACTCCGAAAGCGTTAGAGCAGATATAAAGGTAGTCAAATCCACCATCCTCTGTTCCGTTGTATGCTAATGAGTTAGATTGATGTATTCGATTCCATGCTTGAATGCATACGAAATTACACCAACGTTTCAGAGTTTTCAGTCACAATATGGGACACTTTGAAATGGGAGGTCTGGAACGGCGAAAATGATGACTTTATTAATCGTTCTATAGAAAACATTGCTGCGATTGCCGGCAGACTGGGCCAACAATCCTCTAGCACCGAAGACGATAATGTCGAGTTGGAGAAATTTGTCAACTACGTCACTCAGGAATGCATTACAATATTTACCGATGATACAAAGAAGCGTATGATCCTACCATGTACTCGTATTTTGGGCAAAATTTCGAGCACATCTCCTCAAGCTTTTACACTTACTGCTCGAAATACTCTACCGACCCTTTTTACCTTATGGCAAGGGCTAGATACTATAGCCGACAAAACACGATTGCTCGAGTCATTTAATATTATTCTCGAAACGCGTGCAAACATCTCACAATCATCCACTCAATCTAGTGAAGATGCATACATGGCTCAACGATTAGCCGTCATGGATGTAAATTTTGACAATTTCCGCGAAAGCTTCATAGAACTTTACTTTGGCGCCACCTCCATGTCTTCAAGTGATCTCGAATCAAAGATCGCCACCACCAAAGGACTTACACTTTTGGCATCGATTCGCAATGATTCCGTCAATCGTCCATTTTTGAATTCTTTCGAACAAGGAACAATCATTGAAAAACTCAACGAGACAGCGTTCAATTTGAAAGAGGCGGACGATCTTCGTGCGTTGGCTGTGGCTTCCTTGTCCATTTTATCAGTTCGATATCCAGACACATTTATCACCATCACACTCCCCAATTTTATTAGCAAACTTCCAGATCAGTTGAAAACCGAGAATGGTGATGAGTCTGAATTGTCTCAAGTAGTTTGGCTCCTGGACTCACTCGTGGAAATTGCGTGCAAGTCGACTTGCCAACGTGAGCTGGAAACTCCTGACTCCGAAGACAAGACTCACTTCAAATTCAGATTGTTTAAGGCTTTACAATCCGAATTTGTCATGAAATTTACACATCATATTTGTAAATATGCAAATCAAACATCCTATCAGATGGCCCTTTTAGCCGCAATATATCAAGGATTGCAGGTGTTTGATGATGCACTTGCTAATGATAAAACGGCGGGTGACCTATTATCAAACAGTAATGATATCATCGATCCCTATGCTTTCATCGCAATTGCGTTATTCAAGCGAGTCATTGGGCTCTCTCAACACGAGACTGGTGATTTGAAAGGTAGTTGGTTTGTAGGTATCTCGGAGGTTAACAAAGGAGAATATTTCGACGATTCCGTTATCACACTCGTTGGAACGATTGGAACGTACATACTCCGATCCAACACCACTCCACACGAAAACAACTTTTTACTCAAAGCTAATGCAGACAATCCAACTGAGCCAAGTCGTGTTTGGACTTTATTTAATTTCGGAGCACACACTAGAGCAGACTTAGGTGCTTGTCAACAGGACCTTCGTGTTGGCCCCTCTAATAAATGTTCCGCCAACATTCTTTCCACGGCCTTAATAGCTGGAATCCGTAAAGAAGTGAGCCGATTTTCATTCCTTTTCCATGTAAACTTTGACTGATCTGTTCTAGGATATCGATCGTTTAGGTCTAGTGGTTCATGAAATTGCCAAGTCAATGCTTTTCAACGCAATTTCTGTGGAAAACAAGTGTTCAAGACAAGCTCGCATTAGTATGTTACAGATGCTTCAACTTCTCGTAAACAAATTCGGTGCAGACAAGAAAATGTTTGAAGACGGGAAACAACTTCATGACGTTATGCTCGAGCTGGTCAATGAAGCAGCATCAAAGCCAGATTTAGAAGCATATCAAATATATCAAGCACTGGCTTATTTTGCTGCGGCCGCAGTAGCAGCATATGAACCATGTAGTACGGCACTCATCGATGCCATGATGAAAGGTATTTCTGACCCAAAACGTGGTCGAAAGATTGCCCGCAGTTTCGCAATCCTCCTGGCTCCATCGAACATGATAAACGAAAGCAATTTCTGTATTCTTCGTCCTCTTCGATTTGGTCGCCTTTACAGCACTACTGTCAATCAACTTATCACTCTCTGGCGATCCAATGAAGACAGCCGTAGCAAAGAAAACTATCTTATTGCCATTGCTGGTATCCTTCGATATATGCCAGCAAAGATCATGCAAGGCAATGCTGCACAAATCCTCCCAATTGCTCTAGCTGGCACAGACGTTCCGGATAAGACTACCAAAGATGCAAGCATGAACATTATGATCGTTTTAATGCCGGAAAATCCTGGTTTGATTGAAGAGCACCTTGATTCAATAATCAATCGAATGACGGATCGTACGCATAATACGTATGATTCTCCCTCGGATGCCAATGTTGAGGGCAGATCTAAGGCTTTGGATGTACTTGCTATGCTTCCAACTTTGGTAGAGAATGGACTACTTCTGAAGCGGAAAAATGCAGTACTGAAGGAACTTGATGTCGCGTTGGATGATTGCTCGAGAGAGGTGAGAATGAGAGCTGATAGATGTAAAATGATTTGGTTCAATTTGTAATTGGAGCTTTATATTGGCACGGTGTGTTGTGGTGTTGAGAGATTGTTTGGGTGGTTGCCGTTGCATATGATTGTTTGGGGCGCAGTAATTAGGTTATTATACACATAAAATAGGTGGGAAGGTATTTTGAGATATTGATTTGATGAGGACGTTTACCAGAGAATATGGTATGGTGATAAAGAGGAATAATAGAAGAATTGTTATCTTGCTCTAATAAAAAGGTTCTTGGATGAGAATAATTATGTGATAATAAAGCCAGAACCCTCTTCAGTTTGGTACTCTTACTTGAATAACTGACTTCCTTGCCTATATCTGGCTAAGAAGAAGAAATATTCACTCGCTATGAACATATTGCCACGTACTTTACATGCGACTACTTACTAGAAAAATTGAACAATCCTTCATCCTATCATCTATTCATCTATCATCTAGTTTTCCTATTTATCCTGTTCTATTCGATTTTAAAATCTCAAGTCGCACTTGGCCTTAAACAAGCTAACCTCTGATTTATCATGGACTACCGAAATCATCTTGAATGGTTCTTGGTGAGAGAGTTTCATCGGGAAGCACCTTGGTACTTTTGCTCAAACCCCTCACATCCCGTACATAGTCATTAACATCACTCTCCAGATTCATCTCTTTCAGTTCTTCCTCAACTATCACGTAACAGTTAGTGATAGGCTCAACTTTATATACATATGGGGGATAACAAATACTCCGAAAGTTTGCACGACCTGTTTTTCCGATCAATCCACCTGCCTTTTGGAGGACTCCACCTGACCAAAGACTTTGCTCGTTTGTCTATCTTACAATCTTTTTCCAATCCTTTAAAGGAATTTCCATAAAATCATCAATCAACCACCTGACCTCTCTCTGCGAACCAAACACAGCAAAGATGATGTTCATCCATAAGATGATAAAGAACACTATGAATAATATAGAAATCACGTTGCGATCGCGAGTGCACATTTCAATATCGTGAAAATGAGAAATTTCACAGATGTCACTAGATGACGGAAGAGCTACAGAAGTCGTAGCGACCGCATCAACGACTGCCACACGGGATGTCAGCCCCATATGGATGCTAGTGTAATGCCTGACTATCTCAATCGTCTCCGTTGATGGCATTTTGGAGTGAGTGATGGGTTTTGGTGCGTCGAGGTGTAAGGAATCTGATATATTTCAGCATCTCTTATATGTGTGTATCTTCAAAAATCTGATTTCACATAAGGTTACATTTGTGTAGAGATAGATAATTCAGCTCGGTTGTGATAATTATATTCCGGATACAAAGATGAGTGTATATATCAAAATTCCTACCCGTTACTACGCTAGCAAAACTCGAACAGTGATTGCGATACGTGGAGAAATTTACTTGAATATCATATAATGCTGGTGTTTCGTGTGATAAAATTGTTGATATTCTGTTAAATTGATTTTGTATGTAAAAGTTTGTGGGGGATGCTAGATGTTACATTTGCGACGGACTCAAACCTTGTGATCATTGTAGCAATCATCAATTTCTGTTTTATAATCATTAATTCTCCATTTCTTTTCGGTGCCAATATCAGACAGCATAACATCCAACGCCATGGTTGCATTTTCCAATCTTCTCATCACATTCTCGGCAGTTTCTGCCTCACTCGCCACTCCGAATTCCATTCTCCCAAAGCGGAGCCCAATGGATTTTATTCTTCAACACAACCAAAGCCCTCTCAATGATCGTGCAACAATTTACCAATATGATTATAAGACTGGTGAAGATGTACTCTACATACTATCCGATAGTTCTTTCACTGTAGATTGGTCGACTGAGGATGATTTTGTTGTCGGTTTTGGTTGGACAACTGAGTCTACCAAGTAAGTGACGCTCATTTACTAATGAAAAAGTTTATAAATGCTGATATCACTTGACATCCAGTCCCCTCAACTTCAGCGGCACCTTTGGTATGGGATCCGGCAGGTTCGAAGACTCACTCGTAGAATACTACATCATCGAGGCCAGTACTTCTCCTCTTAGCTTCAGAACCATAAAAGGCAGCGTCACGAGCAACGTATCAAGCTATACTGTCTGGGAAAACCAACGTCTTATTGAGCCGTCTATTGTGGGAACGACTACTTTTAATCAGTATATTTCGGCGCAATCTTCTCAGCGCAAAACTGGTGCGATTATCTCCCCGCAAACGTGGGAATGTTACTGCAGATAACCATTTTCAGGCTCGGACGGCGCTGTGTATGAATTTGGGGAGTCTTAATTATCAGGTTTTGGTGGTGGAGGGGTGAAGCGGTGAGGGGCTGCTACGCAAACAGTCAGTTAGGATGGGGATCTGGATGTGCGTGGTAGTTTTGAGGTCTTTTGCGGTCAATAAGTTAGCATAAGCCATCATGATCAAATTCATTGTTCGTCAAAACCCAGTAGATTTCGTCTTCCGAGATGGATGTAGGTGTTATTGAAAGGAGCTCAAGAAACAAGTTGGAAAGTTGTGCGAAGCCTGGGGAAGAGGGGGATTAATTTATCTTATCATTTAAAGTTCAGTACTATGTATGTATGCTATTTTTTTCTTGATTATTCCTAGTGCGATTGCCTATTCCTCTTGGGATTTGATCCGAAGGGCTCTCATGATTGGTTCCTAATGTGGAGAATCTTCGCTTATTTTCAAATCCCTTCCCTCCTTTTGTCAAATATTTAGTTTTACTCGAATAACGATAAGATTTATTTATTTGGTGTTCGAAATAGAGTATTGAATAAGTTGAATTGCAGTGAAATAATACAAGGATTTGAATATTCAAAAGCGATTAGAAATTTGAAAATAATTCAATCTTTTAAAAAATTCAATAATTTCAAATAATTCAAGTATATTAGTTGATTTGAAGATTTGATAATCTTTATTTCTATACTATAGTTCGGACTATTGAACATTCTGATCCAAGAAACAAGGGAAATAGAGACTGATCTATGGTCTTCTTCAGTTTCAATGAAATCATGCTGTACTTGAACAAGGCTGGAATTCAAGTCTTACCACGATTCTTTCCCAGCTATCTATCAATGGTCTGGCAGTATCTTCACGATCTCCATCATTCTTCATCGTACCATAAGCATTTGATTGGCGGTTACACGATTAGAGTGGTGTCACTACCTAGTGACACAGTAGGTACTATACCTATCTTCGTGTAACTGTGTGGTGGCGCTTTAAAGTTAAGCCCTCCCCGTATACGAAGTATCTGGTGAATATATATTTAGCACGGTAATCAGATTATCAGTTACAAGGAATTCTACAAGCTTTCAGATCCAAAGTCTAGGTAGTACCAATATCTTTCACGGCCACTGGACTGACATTCCATCAATAATTTTCCTCTGAGACTCCATGATGGGTGATCAATCCAATCAACCGGCCTTGTCCGATGCGACTGATTTGCATGATCGAGACTACTCCGACAAACAAGTTTACGAAGCTTCCAATGTTTCCCATGTCAAAAATGCGAATTCCACCGATAAGCAAAGTCGTAAAGCCTCTGATGAATCAGAGGTAGGTTTCGATCCGGTACCCGATGCAAAATCCGAAGGGAGCACTCGACGCGGTTTAAAATCTCGACATGCACAAATGATTGCATTGGGCGGTACCATTGGTACTGGACTATTCGTCGGGAGTGGACAAGCTCTTTTCGCTGGAGGGCCTGCCTTTCTCTTTCTTGCTTATTGTCTCATCACTTTGTTTGTGTATGGTATTGTGACGGCGACAACAGAAATCAGTGCATATATGCCGGTTCATGGAAGTACAATGGCGTCATATGCTTCTCGTTACGTGTCTCCCAGTCTTGGGTTCGCTATGGGTTGGCTGTATTGGTATTCTTTCGCTATCGTTGTTCCCTACGAGATTACGGCGGCTGGGTTGGTTATCGATTATTGGCCGAATGATGTAAATATCGCCGTGTGGATCACCATCCTTCTCTTGATCATCATCGGGTTGAACTGCTTTCCAGTTAAAGTGTATGGAGAAACTGAGTTTTGGTTCGCATCTCTGAAAGTATTCATGATCATCGGTCTGTTGATACTTTCTTTCATCCTCTTTTGTGGTGGAGGACCATCTCATCAGCCACTTGGATTTCATTACTGGAAAGATCCAGGAGCAACTAAAGAATATCTTGTCGGCGGATCCGCGGGAAGATTTTGCGCTTTTTTGTATGTTCTAGTCTTCTCCTGTTTTTCCTTCAACTTCGCACCCGAATTACTTGTTATTACTGGAGGTGAAATGGAATCACCACGTCGCAATCTCCCAACTGCCGCCAAACGATACTTCATTCGACTCCTCATCTTCTACGTTGGTGGAACTCTTGCAATAGGCGTCATTGTGAGTAGCAATGCACCAGGGTTAATTGGCGGTGGAGCCGGTGCAACATCATCGCCTTGGGTTATAGCAATCAAGAACGCTGGCATCTCCGGGTTAGACAGTGTCATCAATGCGGTAATCATTACTTCTGCATGGTCTTCGGGGAATTCCTACCTCTACATGTCAAGTAGATCCTTGTATTCCCTCGCACTTTCTGGCAATGCACCAAAGGTATTCAAGAGATGTAACAGATGGGGTGTGCCTTATCCAGCGCTAATCGCCAGCTCCATGTTCTCACTCCTGGCCTATCTCAACTGCGCTAGTAATGGAATACAAGTTTTCAACTGGTTCATTAATCTCACCAATACGTCTGGATTCATCTCCTGGATTTGTTGTTGTGTAGTCTTTTTCCGGTTTCGCAAGGCATGCGTTGCACACGAGATCACGGATCTACCATACAGATCGCGTTTTCAACCTTATTTGGCTTACGTCTCGATCTGCGCTTTTACGATTCTTCTTCTTTGTAACGGATTTAGCGTTTTCTTTCCTGGTAAATGGAGTGTGTCGTCTTTTCTCACTGCTTATATCGGTCTTCCTATTTTCCTTACCATCTACTTTTGCCATCGCATATTTCATCGGTCAGATGAATGGATGTTGAAGCCAGCTGATGTTGATATGACAAGTGGTTTAGAAGAGGTTTTGGCTACTGAGACTGATGCTCCTATTAGAAAAGGTCCTTGGTATCACAATTTAGGGAAGATTTGGGAGTAATGTATGTTCTAATGGGTTTGCAGATGTGTTTGTAGTTTTTGCGTTTGGATAGTTATTAGGGTCGGCTGGCCGACAACTTCTTACTATCAATTTAAATAGAGTTCGCCTAAAGCTGGATAAAACGTGACAGCCCCATTGTGACTTAACCATCGAGGTCATTTGACCTACTCACATTTATACTGTTTCCTGACGAGCATGAAAAGACGTTGAACGAGCATGACTATCGAAATATTCTACTTCTATTATTTGTTAAAAGATTCCCGGCTTCAATCATACTTTCTAGGTCCACAAACTTGCTCTAATAAAACCTAATCTCTGGGCCTTTCACACTCGACGTCGGTGCTCCAAGGTTTCCAAACCATCTATGTAGACTGACTTGACTCGGTACTGAAGGCTAATTATCCAATCCAGTTCATCGACATATCTTTAGCAATTAGACCTTTTCAAGATAAAGATGAACACAACATTTGGAAGGTCGTCTTTCCAATATTAGACGTTATCATGCATCGGTAAATTTTATGGGGTGACCAGAGGTCATCGTGCCAGCAGAGTATCCAATAGTCCGGACTGCAGTCTAATCATATAAGGATTTAAATATCTAAAAGTAGTTAGAGATTTGAAAAATAATTCAATCTTCTAATAAAATTCAATAATTTTAAATGATTTGAATATAGTAATTGGTTTGGAGATTTGATAATCATTTCTAAACTGCAATCCGAACCATTGGACACTCCGAGATTCCTCGTCCTGGTCACGGTCTGGCCTCGGTTGCGCTCTGATTTTAATAGTGAATGCTAAAGATGAGGGGTCAAAATATGAGTGAATCGGTCGAAATTGCGCCCCTCAATAATCCGGTGATAGAAGTGAATCAAACAGGTAATTAAGGTTATAAGTCTCTCATCTATCTCGAAAGTAAGATCTGGATGCATCAAAAATCAAAGTCAACCTCCCACAGTATTCAGGTTCTGATAGAACTTCGCAACGGAAATGCTTGGTATGCCCAGGTGCTTTACACAAGGACTCAGGTTGGTCACCTAAGACAATTTATCATAGGGAATAATCCCAAAAACTTGCTCTTTTTTTGCTGTGTAATATTAAGTGTCGAATTCATATTATCGTCTTATATTGCAATTCAACTTATCCGATTTCCCAAAAAAAAATTAAAAAAATACTATAGTTATTAGATGAGTATTGTTTGGCTCCAGTGGTTCCGCAAGGTCGGAAACCTCGTAGAATAGTTACCCATATCGGTCATTCTTTCATGATGACTAGTTTACGAGGATTGTGTTGCCCCCTCCCCCCCCAAAATCAACTATAGCATTTTTGGAAAGAAAATTATTGCAGAACACGATGCCTGGTAGTTTGAGTGGTCGCATTAAGATTGTTGCGTGGGCAGCGCGGAGACGAGGTAGACAACGTAAAAAGAAGCGAAAGCGATACTGAAAGCAAGTACTAGGTAGACAGGTATTCACTGAAGTATCCTTCACCTCCTTTACCTGAACATGTGAGAGTCTAGATTAGCAATAATTGGCTCAGCCCTAGAGTGTATACAAATCAGCCTCGGGATCCAGTCACGCTTCGCAAGTCTCAAATTTAAATCGGTTGAAGCCAAACTATGTGTATATAATTAGCGCTCCGAGTCGCGAAAAGAGGTCTCAGTAAAGCAATAGTTTGCTGAAGCTTCAGAATGTTCTGGTGTGCATTAGTGAAGGCTGATTATCATGCAACGCATACGTATGTGATTAGTAGTAGTGAAAAAACGACCAATATGCTGAGTCGATATTACAGAATTGAGGAACTGGATAACGCCCTTGGAATGATGAGATGAGTTCTGGTTAATTTTCTAGAATCAAAGATGAGATGACTACAATTTGATGGTGAAATTTTGTCGGAGTTGTTAGTCCACCAGGGAGTGTACGGATTGACGGGACACTTCCCAACTTCCGATATTTTTGATATATAAAATCATTCATTCTGGATTTTTTTTTTCAAGAGATATTCACAAGTCCATTTTTGCAGTGTTCCGTTAATCTGTACACCCACTGATGGTCTAGTTGCCAAATCAATCGGAGGGCTTGTGGCATTTATCGTCTAAAGGCATTCATCTGTTATCATAATAGAACGTAAGATGTAGACTTATACTATCGTCTAAAATATGCGACCGAGCATTACATATTGGCATTATGTTCTCTAGTACTCGCTTCACTGCCTATGGGACCACAGTCTTAGAACTAAATCTAGAATAACATTTTTGCCAATTTTTCCACCAAATTATCGCAGCACTCGATAAATCCTGTGCCAACTTCCCATCATTGCTATCGTAGAACTCAACGTTGACAACTGTCTGTTAATGTGGAAATCAACGCTCACTTTTGTGTTGAAAAGACAATGTCATTACGTCACATGATATATCTGAAGACCAACCAAAGTCTGGTGCGCTAAAAGCCTGAGACTAAGGCCCTTAGCTCGACACTAAAAGCCTTAGCTCGAAAATTTGTACTGGCAGACCCTTCGCTTAAACGAACTAAGGCCCTTAGCTTGAAAGATTCCACGCTAATTCCCGGTCCTCCACACACTTGTGAAAATCATTTCGGGTTTTACTAATCCATTACTCACTTAAGCAGCCTCAGTAGCTTACTAGTACACTTGGCCCAGTATGGGATTTAGGTGAAATCTCGCTAACAAATATTTAACCGGCAAGAATCGAATCCTAGAACTGCTCGAGCTATCTAAGTTTTGTTTTGTAAGGTCATATACAATTTTACTACCTAGGTACACAGGCTGAAGTACAGAATGCGACTTCATATGATGCCAAGTATGATAGAATTATCGCTTCTCCATCTCGTTTCAATCGGGGACAAAGATATACAATGTCACGCTGATGTACGTGAACATATAATTATCAACAATCCGCACTTATTGGGCACCTACCTGCAGGAAGATCATATGTCGTCAAGAAAATTTACTAGCGAGGTCAAATCGATTTCAGAGGGGTGTTCACAACAACGAGTGTTATGAGTAATTACCATGGGAACCTCATAACATGATAGGTTCTTCAAATTACTAACCAAAGCGGCAATCCAGACAGAAGCGTTGATCATAAGTTGAGTACCAGTGTCTGTGTGATAATTTCAAGCGAATTCATTATTGGTGGGAGAATGGTGTAATGATTTTCTTTGTTCGAGAAGGGCTAATATGGCTGTTACATACAGAACAAAAGATCAGAAAAAGACATAATACAAATTCCCTACATGAAGCATTAAATGTGGAAGAAGAAAATTACTTATTAAATATTTTGAAAAGAAAAAGATAAGAGAAAAATCTAACAAACCTACTTACCAATCTATCTTCCCGAATAAATCTTAGTTTTGAACAATTTATCTATGCAGGTCCTGGACCACTCTTAGCCAAACAATAGATCAACGCAAAAATTATCAACCCCCTCCAGAAAGTTTTCTTCGAGAAAATTTCTTCCCACCACCTATCCTCTTCAGGTACACTAAACCCCCCCTGTTTCCCCCTCGCCTTCGCTAGTTTTTTTTGTTGCCAATCCGTCAAAAAAGCATATCCCTCTTGTCCCGGCTGAACCTGCGGACGCAGCGATGCGATATCATTATGATTCAGGGAGCCGGGTATATACAACGGTGCTAATTTCGGAGCATTCACAGGACGACGACGGAATTCCTGGCGGAGGAGATGAGGATCGCGGGCCGGAGGGATGTAATCCATATAGCCTTCATCGCATGTGATGCAGCCCGTGCGACGATGTGCTGGCGCTTTTTTGTTTTGGTATTCGGGGTTGGTGTAGAATTTTGAGGGCATTTTGGGAGGGGGAGTGGGACGTGAGTTTTGGAACATGGTGCTGATTGACTGATACTCTTTAGTTGGAGATGAGTTTGGGCTTACCTGTTTGTTTTTTTGTTTTTTGAATGATTGGTTGGAGTAAATGTGTATAAGTTACCACCAGGGTAGACTTTTCAAATGTAATTGAGGTTGGAAAACGAAAGTTCGAATTGCGAGTGTAATGAACGTGCTGTTCTGTAGATGGCTGTTCTTTACAGTTGGATTGTTCAGGGAACGTTGTTCGGCTATATAGCTGGGCCATTCTTTGTCCTTTGGATAACAAAGCTTCTTGGCAATTTGAACGCAGCTTAAAGACTTCTTTGTGCGAGATACATGATTCGTTCTATTTTGGAAATAACAATTGCATTGTCCGGTCATGTCCTTTGTTACTTTGCTCTCGAAAAGAAAGCCAGGTACATTCTTTGTCTTTGGGGTAATAATGACTGACACTGAGAAGAAATGATAGGTCGCAAATCCCCAAGATACTTTGGTACTTTGCAAGGCAGAACAATGCTTGAACAGATGAACACTGTTCCTACAATATACTCCCCCCCCAAATTGAAGTCTCTTCTTCATTTTTCGAAAATCCTTCAAATAAACGAATAGAAACGCTATTCCTACAATATACCTTCATTCACCCGTTGGATTCTCTTCTTCATTTTTCTAATAATCATCAAAATAAACCACACACAAAATCACGTCACAAAATCAACATTTTTATTTTAACAATACCATACATACTTCCTTCATTCCTCCTTAAAGCGAACTTCTTCCAGTATCAATTCAACATGTGCACCCTAACCCTCACCTTTTGCCCAACCTGCTCCAAGGTTGCGGCTCCATCTCGAGTCGAGAAGTGCGCCGACCGATCTGACGCATCCCACACCCCCAGTACAACCAAAATCACTGCCATGAATCCTTGCATTCGATGCAACAATCGCAACAAGCCAGTAAATCCCACCAGGGCCCTCACTCGAGACATCCTCGAAGATATGTGTTTGAAAATTCCCGAATGGCATCCTACAGCACCACAGGAGCCCATTCCCGGGATCCTTCCAAATTGGAACTCCGAAACTTTAACTCGCGCTCAAGATGACGAACTCTTTTTCGAACACGTCACACAAAGCCACAGTGTAGAAGTCAAGAATCGACAAGATTTGCCAAGTCAACGCAATGGATTCCCGTTGTGTTTGATGGCTGGAATCAAGCAGAGACCTTCACCTGTGAATCAACGACTTGAGAGATCACGGCCAGAGAGATCAAAGTTTACTTCACCTCCACTATCATGGAACAACAACCCTAGGAATAGACGACTTGGTGTTGCACCAGCACCACGAACTGCATCACTTCAAACAGAGTCTACACCGTCGGGAACACTTAGTCGTTTGGTCCCAGGCGAAACCAATCAAAGAAGTCAAGCTCAAGAGGAATCTTCCATCGTATCTCCAGCACTCAGACTCCAGATCCCACCACAGAGGTCATCTTCCATCGAACCCCAAGATACAGAATCCACCCCTTCATCAGGCACATCCACCCGTTCCGAATCTCTCATCCAGACAGCGATATTCAGCCCCATAGCCTTCGCTCAACTCCCCGCGCATTACGACATGCGACGAACTTCCATCCCGACACCTCGCGTTTCCACAACCCAGCCGCGAGTCCAAGCACGCGAACAACACGAGACTGTTGACCGAATGTCTCAACGCACTCCAGAAAATCAAGAACTTAAACGTCAAAGTCTCGAAAGCAAGCGAATGCGTGAGTTGCAACAACGCAATGTCCAACCCGAACAAAGATCGCACTCTAACAATGGGCCGCCACGACATGTCAATGATGTAGAATTCAAGAGCGTACGACCCAAGCGTAGCTTGAGATTGCTTCCGAGTCTTCCATCGTTTGGTTCATTGCGGTTTGATGTTTGATTGACGACGTGTGGGCGGTATGTATCTCTAGTGAGCTGGTTCTCACTATCATTATCCCCTTTCAATCAAGCGTTTATAGGTTTTCTTGCAGTATTGTTAAATCAAATCGAGAAAAGGTAGGGGCCCTTGACCTGGAGTAATGCATTGTAACATTTCTATAACAAAGAAAATACCGTTATTCCTTTTTTTCTTTTTTTCTTTGTCTCTCATCTTTGTCATTGCAATTTCCCATCATCACAATATACAAAACACCAAGAATAAATAGATTAGAGGCTCGGGCCCTAGAGATAAAGATGTAATATTTCTCATGAAAAAGTAATTTAACACCAATGAAACTATAATATCATATCTATCGTATGTTCAAAGGTGTTCCTATCCGCTGTGAACGCCGTGCTCCTATGATACTCTCATCTCATTATTCACTTCCTCGTTTACTTGTTATCTCAAACTTTTGCTGCGTCAATTTCTAAAGGTACAGCGTTTGCAGTACGTAACCATTCTCCATTAAATGCATTGATAAGCCAGTTATTAAGTTCTGCGAGTGGAGTGGTTAGCATTTGAATAAATCAATCGTAATAGGAATTACTTACTATCATAAACAATTCTGTTCGCGTTATGGAAATAGATAGAATGATCGCTGTCTGGGAAAACATGTACGTCGTAGTTTTCCACACCAGCAAGGTCGAGTTTGTCCAACAAAGTGAGTGTGTTTTGCATATGAACATTATCATCTGCGACACCATGCATAATCAAGAATCGAACATTCTTAGCGAGTGACTTTACATCGCTAATGCTGGTATTATCATATCCGCTAGGGTTATGTTGTGGTGTGTGCATATATCGCTCCGTATAGATAGAATCGTAAAATCTCCAATCGGTGACGGGCGCAACTGCCATACCATAAGAAAATGTTTCTCCAGCATCTTCTTCCAAGGTCTTTAATGTCATGAAACCACCATATGACCAACCCCAAATAGCCATTCTCGATTCGTCGACGTACTTTTTGCTAGCCCAGATTTTGGCAGTTTCAATTTGATCGCGTGCTTCATAGTGACCAATATTGCCACGAATAATGGTTCGGGCTTTTCGCCCAATGAATCCAGTTCCACGACCATCGACAGTTACGACAATGTATCCGAGGTTTGAGGCGATGTAGGATTCGAAATCAACACCAAAACTCTTGCTAACAGTTTGAGATCCGGGACCACCGTAAAGATAAAATAATACTGGATACTTCTTCTTTGGGTTGAAGTGTGGTGGTCGACGTTCGACGACTTGCAATTCAAATCCATCAATGGTAACAGTCTGGTAGATCAGAATAGGCAATTCGTGTTTCTTTGCCATATCAGCTAGTTGTTTGTTCTCCTCAATGACATGTGTGTATTGGTTATTGTTGCTGGGAGTGCTGATAACTTTCTGCCATGGAATATTTGGGCCATTGTAATTAAGGAGAACGTATCCAGCACCCTTAGAAAATGAAGCACCATAATAACCTTCCGTCGAAGTATCGGTGATAGCTTTCATATCCGTACCATCTAGTTTCACGCTATATAATTGTCTTGTAATCGGTGACTCTTTAGTAGAAACGAAATAGACAAGATTGTTCTTGAGATCAACGGCAGAAGGCGCTTTTACCACTTCCCAATCTCCAGATGTAAGAAGTATAGGTTCAGGATTATCCATTGGTGTGAAGTATCCCAAATGATCATAGTTCTCGTGAATGATAGTATCAATATATCCATCGTGAGGACGACCGTTTGCAGGATCTGCAGGAATATAGCGAGTGTCTTCAGAGACTTCAAACCATCCACCATCGAGTTTTGCAATGTCTGTGAATCGTACAGTCTTTCCCTCTCGAGCCACAACATCAACGAGAACAACTCGCAAGATGTCACTTTCTCTGTTCGTCTCGCGGATCAAAGCCTTACCTGTCGATCCAGCCCAAACTACCTCTGTAATCAAAAGGTCCTTTGGCTCAAAGCCTCCGGCAATCTTGACCTCGAAGACTTCTGCCTTGGAAATATCATAAAACAAAAGATCGACAGTAGGATTTGGAGCACCGGCTTTGGGGTATTTGATTTCTCTGACTTCGGGATAATTTTCTTCTCCTGGTAAAGGATCTTTCCCACTAGGTCTTGAAACAAAGTATTGAACTGGGTATTCGGGTACCTCGGATTCATTTGTACGAAGGAATGCAATATAATTGCCACTGTCGTCCCACCATGTTGCACTGGCTCCAGCAAAAACCTCTTCTTCATAGACCCAATCAGGTACACCATAGAAGAATTCTGGACCACCATCCACGGTTATTTGTACAACAGTTGGTGAAGCTAGTTTTCGAAGGTACATATTGTTATCTCGAGTGAAAACGATGGCATCACTCTGTGGACTCCAGCTGGCCAATTGAACTCGGCCATCTAAATCTACAGGATCTAATGGTTCCGCAGTTTGAGATTCGACATCGAAGATCCAATATTTCGCATAAAAGGAATGCCTCCAGTTTGATTGAACATCTGTCGCGACCAAAACTTTCTTCAAATCCTTGCTAGGGTATACTTTGCTTGGTGTCAAGCTTCTCCCCGCAACTTCGAAATATCCATTCTTCATCAAAGTCATCGTGTCTAGAGTCCCTACAGCTGAAGGGCTTTGCGTTCTGACATCTTCCACAATCAAATAATCCTTTCCGACGGAACCTTGTTCGAGTAGCAATCCATCCTCCCCGTTGGCTCCTTCAATCCAACTTATACTGTGTTTAGTCGCTCTCCATTGACCGCCCATAACCTGATCCATTGTAACCTTCTTCCCGCTTCCCCTCGAGGAGGTCGCCTGTGGATCGTGAGGACTTTCCGATGAATGTTTGTATGCCTGTTTCCCCAAAAATATAAACAATGCCAGCACCCAGGCTCCAATGAACACTCCCCCGATAATCCATATCAATCTTCTCAATTTCTTGTCGACTGACTTGTTCGTTGATCCATTTGTAAGAAATGCGCCATCCTCCATATCATAATCCTTCTCCTCTTCCTCATCTAAATGTATTTGCGTATGTTCATCATCCGCATACGCCATCTCTCCTCGAGGAGGGAATTTGGGTGTCACCATCGTCGGTTTTTCAGACCCATTCGCAGCAACACGTTCGCCGATTCGATCGAAGACCAAACTCGTAGTCGAAGCAGTCGAGGCGATAGAATCAGATGAATTACGGGAGACAGACTCCTGCTCTGTTGACAGGAGCTTTGCGTTTTCTTCAGGGTGCCCAGCCATATCTGAGGGTACGAGAGTTTCAGTGGGTCTTGGAGTCCAGAGCTACGCCAATACCATATATAAAATTGTATCAATTCGAGATGCACATTGCTTTTGAACAATCTTGAAAGATCTAGAGTGGCCAATAGTTGAAAGAGAGAAAGAAGACTGAATTGTAAAATTTATCTATTGAGGACAGTATTAGGAAGGGTTCTAGAAATCGCCTTTGTCAATATGTTGATGGCTGGCTTATTAGTGTTCAGCTTCCCCAATACGTGGAGTCCGACACTTATCGGGTACACACCCAAGATCATCCATGTACTTCGTAATCGTGCCAATTCCACAAAGATTACCAAGATCTTCCTTAATATGTTATGTAAAAGCCTCTTGAGTTTCACGATATGTTGAATTCCCATAGAATTCAAACTGCGATTATATTTTGGTTACAAAGGACGATTTCCCCGGAGAGCGAAACAAAGAACACGTTCTAGTATGTTGAGTTCTGATGATCCGGTAAAGCAATCAATGAATTATTTACCTTCTTTACAACAGATGCTATTTTTGGAAAGTCAAGATCATTTGAGATATTGGCTGAAATATTATAAATTACTTTGAGGAACGGAAAGAATCAAAGTAAGCTGAAGGTATATTTGAGCTGAATCTACTCGTAATCCCCAACTCGATGTTGTAAAGCTAAAACAAAACATCAAACATATGATTAATATAATAAATTAGGACCATGACCCAAGAGATAATCTAATTCTACACCAGGTATTTGTCCCATGAATACTAATAATGGTATAATATGCAAACATACAATCTCCAATCTATGACCTGCTCGCTTGCTCCCATACCATTATCTTATACGCTTCCCTAGACATCCTCGACCTTCATACTAAACGGTATATTCATCGTTTGTAGACACATGCCCAATCATTCCCGAAATCCTTTATTTATTATGTATGATGAAGTTCCTCAAACTATCCCAAGTATCGCTCTGCACATAAATATAATCCATACTACTCCTTAACCCACTCTGCACCGTCTCTGGGTACCATCTGAACAACCACATAACACTTCCCCAACTCAGTGCTGCAAATACTGGCCATGCGTCGTTCGATATGCGATCTGCAAGCTCTTTATTTCGGATGATTCCCGCTGAAGGTAGAACAGCTAATTGTGCTAATGACAAACATACTCGTGCGAATACTGTATGCGCCGAAACATTAGCATATCTTTTGAACGTAGATTATTGGAGACCCGATTGGAAAGGAGAAGCATACCGAATATCACAATCTGTTTGCTAACACTGCTAACATGCCCTTTCTTTGACCTCCTTCCAAATACCACATACCCACCTAATAGTCCTGCTAAGAATGTATCCCAGTTTCCCTCCTTCCCCTTATTGCCCCCTGAGTATTTGAGTGCTAACATCGTAGTCTTATATATCGTAGCATATTTCGCGAGATTTTGCGCATGTGTTCGCGTTGCGCGGAGTATCAGCCCTATCTTTTCACGGACAGTACCAGATCTGAATAGGAACATCATACTAGAATATGGATTCAGTCAGTTATGCGCCTAAGAATCGGTAAAGGCGAACCAAAAAGGGGGGACCTACACCAATGCATGGGGAAATCTGACTTTGGCACCGTAGACAGCGCCGCTGCGAGCAGCTTTAAGAATAGCGAGAAATTCGGCATTTTTGGGATCGAGAATGAAGCTCTCAAGTGCTGTCTATATTATCGCATTAGTATATTGCAAAAGTTATTATGAGAACGGTGGATAATTACCTTTATGACAGCAATTCTTCCCTCCATCTTACCGGCACAAAAACGAACCTCGGTAACTTAATTCTCCAATTCCAGCAATTTCCTTGAAGAGAATAAAGAAAGAAGCAATAGATATTATCTCTGTATCTTCATATGTATCTATTCAATCCAGTATTCAAATCGCAGACGTATTGTCAAAGAAATAAAGTCAATGAAGCAAAAAGTAAACTCAGGAATGAAGCTCGGCATGTTTATGGGGATGAACATGAATTCGGATATCCATTCGCTACCCCACAGACTTTCATCCATAGTTTACCGGGATTCATTTAGCGTCCGCTCAGGTCCGCAGGGTGGAAATATTAACATGTGAGATTCAGGCATTCAGGCATTCAGACATTGATGCCTCATGTAATAATTTCGGCGCTAGTGCTTTATCTATTATCGGATCGCAAAAAAAAAGTTCGAGCTTGGAGAAGAAGTAAAGAAGGCATTTGTTAATATCTTCATTCCCTTCGAACAATCACATAATACCACATAATATCAATTCATCATGTTACGTCAAATGTAAGTACTTTTAATTCTCCTTTCAAATCCAATTGAACTTTTTATGTTAACAAATTCTACTAGCAAACCCCGTAATGCTCGCAGCAAGCGCGCTCTCACCAAAAAAGCACCCAAGCCAGTCGAGAACCCAAAAACCGCTCTCTTTCTCCGTTATACAACATGTTCTCAACCTACTCAAGACTGCCTCACGGATCTTCACACCCTTCATTTACCTCTCGCAAAGAAATTCACCAAGAAGAATAGTATTCATCCATTCGACGATCCTTCTTCCCTTGAATTTTTCTCCGAGAAGAACGATGCTTCCCTCTTAGTTTTCGGTTCCTCATCTAAGAAACGCCCACATTCTATTACTTTCTGTAGAATGTTCGATTATAAGGTTTTGGATTTGTTAGAGCTGAATCTTGATGCGGATTCGTTCAGGACTTTGAGTCAATTCAAGAACAAGAAATGCGCCGTCGGATTAAAGCCTATGATTTTGTTCTCGGGTACTCCATTCGAGAGCCCCGTTTCCGACGAATATACACTTGCGAAATCGATGTTCCTCGACTTCTTTAAGGGAGAGCCAGCAGACAAGGTGGATGTGGAGGGTCTTCAATACATCGTTTCCATCTCGGCCAGGGATAGCGTAGACGGAGAGGAAGAGAAACCAAAGATTCATCTCAGAGTATACTTAATAAGGACCAAGAAGAGTGGTCACAAGTTACCAAGAGTTGAGGTTGAGGAGATGGGACCAAGAATGGATTTCAGAGTTGGCAGAGTCAAGGAAGCCGATGAGAGCATAATGAAGGAGGCAATGAGAAGAGCAAGAGGAAGTGCAGAGAGACCAAAGAAGAATATCACCACGGATATTGTTGGTGACAAGATGGGTAGAATACATCTTGGTAAACAAGACTTGAAGGAGTTGCAAACCAGAAAGATGAAGGGATTGAAGAGAAGCAGAGATGTAGCTGATGATGATGAGGGTGGGGATGATGATGAGGATATTGTTAGTGATGACGAGCCTGTGAAAAGGTCAAAGAAGGCATGATTCATTGCCACTCTGTGCAGTAATATCAAGATATCAGGTGTTTGGAGTTTAGGCATGGAAAAGGGTCTTCCGCGAAGAGTGGTTGGTTGTGCTCAAGTATTAAATGTCAGATTACATAAAAGCTAAGCATTGTAACTTCCACCAAACTACTGCTTTCATTGTGTATATCTCTCTGAGCCTATCAATACCGATTTCAGACGTTGCAGGTGCTATCGGTAGCCTTCAATTCATACTTCCCATTCGTCATCGACTTGTGATCTTAACAGGAACTACGGCAGAACCTCCCATCTTCCAAAACCGTCTTACTCGTATACCTTTCTTTAAGCGTGTGATACTTTTCTTCAACACTTTCAAGACTCCCAGGCAGTCCCCATTGCTAATCCAATCCGCATCTTCTAAATCAGAGTGCTTCATCACATAGTGCCTACCTGCACCATTACTCAAGTACACTACACATAATAAAAGCAAGTAACAATCTCAGGGGGGAAACAGAGGAACAGGAAAACATACCATTACCGAGAATAGGAAACAACGCCCTAGCCAAACAGGATGACAAGCTCACACAAACTATTCTTTGAGAATCAAGATGATATCTTACAAATACCATAGTAAGTCTATAGAGATACTTGAAGTTGTACGCCTGAGTACATACAATGGTAGAGTGAAGGTAGAGTGAAAGTGTGCTCGATGAGACGATCCCATACCGTGAATATGATGCTCAATTTACCTCGCGATCTGGAGAAAAAGCTCGCACGGAAACACAAATCGGGAGGGCCTTTTGGTAGCCACTTGAGTTGGATCATTGTAGACACTCTAAAGTCTAAAAGAACATTTTATTGTTAGATTCAAAAGACTTTTGACATGGGAGCGTTAAGAAGCTATGAGGCCATTAAATTGTTAGGTTTTGATTATAGAACATCCGACGATACTCGTCGGGCATTTTAACTAGAGATAAAGTCTGGCGATGAATCATCACATCTTCATTGATGCATTGAGGGAGGAAATTATGCTGAAAATGCAAAGATTATGGGTTCATGGCCGCGTAGAAAATCAAAGAATTGTAGTGCTGGTGAGGATAGCTAATTTGGCGAGATATATGTTTTAAGAATCCCAAGCAATTGTCCACGCATTTCAATGAATTTAATCCGACGCTACGTGTTCGGGGAGCTTGAGAGTTTTGCACTTTCCTTGCTCTTCGGCTTCGTGGATGTGATACAGTTCACAATACTGATTCTCGGAATCTAAGAAGGTGTATTTCACACCTACCTCCGGATTCATTGCGAAAGCTTTGAATATTTCGAAGAGAAAGTCCGCGCAGTAGTCTTTTGGTTCTGAGACCAAGTGCTTAAAAACAGCCCAGTTCTTAAGACTACAGTTGACGACAAAAAGACGAAGCTTCGATGCTGCTGGGGAGTTGTCAAAAATCGAAGTTATATCGCATGGTAATAAAAGACGGTCGTTGGTGACAGTTTCGTAAACCAAAGAATCAATGAGATCATTCTGGAGTCGTGGCATTTGGTATTTTTCGGCCAAATGGTAGACACCAGCAAGCCCTCTCATTGGTGTTCCCGTATTATTATGCGGATAGACAATTTCATTGTTGTAAATCCAATAGACCAATGGCGCAAAATATATTGGGTCGTCTTCAGGTAGCTCCATGGTGGCATCTCCTCCCTTTTGCCACTCAGGTTTGAAGCCAGCCTCAAAAACGGGACTTGCAGCACAGAGCATATCCTTGTGGACAATAAACGTCTTGGAAAGGGGGGCAAGTCCAACAATCAACTTCACAGTTTCGGAAAATGATCTGTAGTCGGAAGTTAGTATGTATAACAAGTTATGAATTATGATTTGAGAAAGCTCACTCAATCAAACGTGTCTTTTTGTAAGGGCGCATATCGACTCCGCTGATTTTTCTCTTGGCAATAGAACCATTCTCAATGGCCTCAGTTGGTTCAACAGGTTTGGTACTGACAGTCTGAAAGCTCAATGTCAGCTTTGAAGTCACTGGATAAAAAACTTAATACTTACTATGGAATCTGCGGGTTTGGGAACCTTCTCAACATCACCAAATATCGAATAGTTACGAGTTGGAGTCAACTAGAAACCTTAATGTCAGCTTCAAATCCTCGAATGAAAACACCAATGCTGACTGTGGATGTGTTTGGCGAACTTGAGCCGTTTCCAGCAGGACGAGACAGCTTAAGAACTGGCGACGTGGTATTTCTGCTTGCAGACCTGCTTCCAGTTCTACTTGGTGGAGGCATATCCATTTTATCATCGGGAAGATCCAACGAAGCAGAACGATACATGATTTAAATGATAAAATACCATGTAAATATTCGAGAGATGAGATTTGTAGATTGGACGATAATGGACAAGTAATAATGGAGATAGAATAATAGATGATGGATAGAGAATGGAAGAGATGAGAATTAAATACGAAAACCTTCCACGGTCAAAAGTGTAGGTAATGATCTAGCGTGACTTCTGAATTGAGAGTGAAAAGTGAAGTCGAAAATGGAAGGAACGTCTGGATCACTCATGTGACCTTGTATACACACCTTTAGAAAATAACAGAAACCTACCATCTATTTCTCAAGTAGGGGGACGCATTGACAAAACTGTGGATGTTGAAGATAGATTTATATAATTAACCACTTATCAGTGACATGAAGTAGCATGAGAGGATTAACTCGCGCCCCTTTTCATACCTCCTGTCCCCAGAAGGAGTGCATGTCTTGACTCGAGTTGTAGGGTATCTCTTGCATGTTTTGTGTACGATCAAGGACCGTTGACTTCAACAGGAAGTACTTCTGCTAATCAGATACTCTAGGCCAACTGTTTGATTTATACTCTCACACTTTCCAATAATCTCTGTTCTACGCCCTCTAATGTACTCTTGTGAGCCAAGACAGATAAATTCTCAGCCTCGCCTTGGAATTGCTTGTCGGGGTCTACACCTGGTCCGAACATTTGTGCACCTGCTCCTGGGCCCATTTGACCCATTTGTTGGGCCATTTGACTTGCAGCTATTTTTACTTAGTATTGCCTCTTATCATCACACTCAGAGAGGATCAACATACCATTATCGCTGCCCAATAGATAGTTGAATACAGATTGTAATCCAAAGATACAAAGAACATACCACGAAATGGAAGACATCCATTGTGGATCCATATCTCTGGTAGCTACACCAGCTTGCAACATACTCTTGAACTTAATCGTCAATGGGAATGGCAATTTGACTATACGTCTCATATTAGTACATCTAGCCGCCTGATACCTCCAGCAAGCAACTCACTAATAACAAATCCACTGAAAAATGCATTAATCCATCCCATAATCAAAGTCTGTGGGATCATCATAGACATATTTCCCTTCATCATGCCCATCATTCCCTCCATAGCGGCTGGATCGGTCATTGGATTTGGAGCTGCTTGTCCCTTCTTCTCTGGCTCCTTCAAGAACTTTCCTTCCTCGAAGGCTTGTACGATATAATCTCTGCGTGGTTGGAAAGAGGCAGGAGTAAGAACATGAGCGTTATTACGAAGGTTGATACCTCGAAGTAAGGATCGTTGTTCGCGAATAGCTGGAAGTTCTTGTTTTTTGGGAGTAGTGGCCATAAGAACGGTAGCATAGTGACGAAGGATACCAGTCAGAATCTGAATGATGAGTTATGATGGCAGATCGAATATCAGAAGAGTAAGAATTACATACCATAACAATAGTAATAGGTATCAAGATCCAGTAGCTACATGTTTGTCAGCTCAATCCAACATGGAAAATGGCGATTTGCTCACAATAACTGGGGATCCCTATGGATCGTCTGCACAGGAACCTGTGCCATCTTTGCAATATCTTCCTAATCTATTTTGTTGGAGAAGATTATGTATGAGGGGTTGTCGCGAGTTGAATTCTACCTAGATCTGTGGTTGAATCTGACATCAAATGTGGCTTTCACGCTAACCTCGGACCCTTGCGAGTAGAGCTTCATCAAGACACGGTCTCTTTGTGTACATTGCGACAACAGCTTTCCCCTCTACATAATTCTGAAAAAGAACAAAAATCAACCATGGCTTCAGAAAGGGTATCTGTACATTCTCTCCCTGGTCAGTATATACATCTATTTGCAAAAAGTGATCTAATATTACAATACTGACAATCAATTCTAGATCTCAAAAACACCTCCGACGATGCTCTCCCCACCTACCTAAACTCCCTCAAATTCACCCAGTCGCATACTCTCTCTGATGCTCGTCTGGCAATTGGTTATACATCTGTCTTAGTCTGCGGTGCCTGTTTCTACTGGGACTACACCTATGGTTTTGAGCCTACAAAGTCCTATACAGCAATTGCGGTTGGAATCTACTTTATCCTCAACACCTTCCTTACCTTCTGGTTATTCTATGTCGAGAAAGGAATTATATATATCGGCACATCTCCAGACAAGAAAAGCATCATCGAAATCTCTACTCAGACTAAAAAACATCAACCAATTTATAACTTAACATTCAAGATATATGAAGCGGCCAAAGGCAGATCCGGACAACCAAAGGAAGAGAGAACCTTGAGAAAACCTTTTAGAGAATGGTTTGATGTGAAAGGTCATTTTATTGTACAACCATTCCAGGAGATGTTGGCGAGTAATATCTCAGTGATTGGAGCTGTCGATCAAAAGAGAGTGGTTAAGGATGAGAAAAAGGTTGAGCAAGAAGGCCAAGCAGATCTAAGTATGGATGACAAATGGGCAGCATTATTGAAGGAGAGTAGTGGTGATGTTGAGACTTCTGGGGCAGAAAAGGTAGCTGGAGGAAAGAAGAGAAGCAAGAAGATTTGAGAAGGTTGCAATATGGATCGGTGAGTGAAAAAAGGGTTTGGTATCGTCAGTTATGGAGTTTGGTGGGACTTGTAGAAGTCAAGAGAATTTTCGGCTGGGACGTGGAGTATGAGAAGAGTATCACATCTAACAAAGTATCCCCAAGCTTGTTCTTTCTATGTATTTGATCCCCCAAATTAATGCCCTTGTATTCAAATGCATTATGAACCGTTTGTCATCAATCTATTATATCAATCACTTCACTTTATCTTTCATACTTTCCTCCCTGAAACTTTCTTCTTGTCCTTCACTAGGGGTGTTTATACTGTCCAGATATTTGGAACTCCTCACATTCACCTCCTTCTGTTCTGTTTCCTTGCATAGAGTCTCAACAGTCCTCAAAATCGCAGCTCGTTTCGTCTTCACAAAATAGACCGTTGACCTCTGATACTGCCCCATCCTCGAGTACTCGCTCATCGCAAGCACATCATCTTTTATTTCCATAGCCTTCTCTTTCTTCACCGGTGTGATCCTCCCTATCCTCCAAAGTTTATTCAATGTTTCTACAACTCATCTTCGTCCGTCTTCGACTTTTCCTTGGGCTCCATTCCTTATCAATCTTCACTTCAGCCCACTCGAAATAGGGTTTCAATAATTGGAAATTACGAGCTTGAGAACTGTCCTTCCATATCATTTGATGGTAAAGAGGGCAAATTGACTTCTTTCCTTGGATCATGGAGGCGGTTTAAAATTTACTAGAATGAATTGCGCCTTATGTTATACGGCATGACGTATGAAATATAGGGTATAGGGTACGAAGTTCTCAAAGAGATACATACCTCTCAATATTGGATCTATGCTGTTTTGATTTGGTTTACGAGGAAGTCGTTCCCATATTCGTAGACTTTTTAGCTCTCCGATACTACCAGCCTGCCCCTCTTGTATTTCATACCTATTGTCTGTCATAGTTTGAGCAGTCCCTTGCCTTTCTTACTGCGCTTGCATGTCGGTGTAGGAGTCTTATGTGCCCGGTAATTGTTTAATATTAGTTCGTTCTTTTTTTGAGCAATCTATCATCATCTTTCCATATTTTGCTTCCTATTTCTTTTTCGTCGTGAAGAAATTGTCTTTGCCGGTATGATCCTAACCTCGAAAGTCGCTTTTCTCTCAATGTCTGTACTTCTTTCTTTGATCATTGGCGCCTGGCGTCATCTTTCTTTCGTTTATAGTTCTTTCTATTCTGTAAACAGAAACTTGGCCTAGGTCATTCTCGCCTGTATATGTCATTCATATTCTCTTATTTTTAATATGTGAATGTTCCTATGGAAGTTTTTGCGATGTTTTTGTCGGAAAATGACATGTGGTCTCTGGCTGGGCATAGAGTCTAGCGACTTAGTCTTGTCGCTAAATTCGCTAGGGGGGATCTATCAGATTGACTGGGCCAAGATTCAACGTCTTCTAGACTTTCTCGGGTTCGATCACCACTTGAAAGCCAGGCTTGCTGCAAAACGTTTTACAAAATCAAGCTCTTGTTCGCTGTAGTAGCTTCGATAACTGTCGATCGACTCCCAATTGAACCCCATTCAATTTTTATTGGTCAGAGGGAGTTTGGTCATCTCCTCTGCCTCTGTTTAGAGGATAGTTTTCATTAGTACTCAATGCTAGTTTACCTAGTAGAAAAAAAATCTTTTGAACACTTCTCGCAAGAATCTTTTCTATCATATTTCATTCCAACTTTCTACAAAACATCATGAACTTACCAACAATCTCAATATTCGGCATAATGAAAAAACCCAGCATTCTTCCTTCATTTCCCTCTACCATGGCGCCTTCTACGTCTCACAGTCTCTCTACTCCCCAGGTTTCACCATCCTATGATCATTCGATGCATCCAATGCCTCCCCCAAAAAATTCTGCAGGAAGAAAGATGGGTATCTTTAGGGCTGACTCTGGAATCGTCATCAAACCGGAGATAAACAACGCGATTTCAAACCTAGATCAACCCAACAGCTCATCCAGCGCCCTCCCAAAAGAAGACCCAACCAACATCATCCCTATCGATACTTCTGAGGCCATACCCACCATTGACGTGAATATAACCAACACAATCGCAAAACTCGATCAACTGAGTACTTATCTCCGCGCCCTTCTTACACGGGTTCCAGAGACTCGCACAGCTTATCACGATGATTCCACCTCCACTGGCGAGCACTCTCCAGAGGAAGAAATCCCATATACCTCTGCAGGAAAAGAGAAAGAAGAAGACTCCTGTGACACACCTACCCATACCTCTGAAGCCACAATCGCAGAAGTCGTGGGCGGCCAAATCTCAAAAGTAGCTCAAGTCGTCGAGGTACTTAGCATGATCCGTCACATTACCTTTGTCATGTCGTCATGTCTTGACGAAGTTCTACCCAAAGATCCTATCATTCCAGAAAGTAATATAGAAAAAGGAAAAGGAAAAGAGAAAGAAAAAGAAGAAGATGATGAAGGAAAAGAAGAACAAATTCCCATCCAATCCACCATCTTCCCCGATCTCCCCTCCGCCTCCCATCTCCTCTCTTCTCCATCCGCAGAACACATGAAGCGCGGGGCGCTAGGATTCCAATTGGTCGATAAACTCTCACCTCCACAAAAATGGCTTTTTCGACCAATGTCCGACTCTGAACGTCTGCGCCTTAAGATGCGTCGTATGAAAAGATGGGAGGGAAAGGAAGAACAAACTCTCATGACTCCCGACCTCCTCCCAGTTTCCCCTCCCCCCTCTTCGTCATCCGCAGCAGAAACTCCCCTCCAACCCACCACTCCCATCATCGCATCCAGTCTTCCCTCCTCTTCCTCATACGCAGAAAGCTTCCATCGCCGCGCACGAACACGCAATTGGGTCGCCGATCTCCCACCACCGCAGGAACCAATATATCCCGGTCTTCCAGCACTCCCCAACTTACAATTTCTGCAACGCAAAATCGATCTTATGAAAAAAGAATTGGGAGACGAGTTCCCTCTCACTCCCATTTCCAACGTGTTGGATCCCTATTTTTGGACCATGAGGGATGCGACTACGTTCGCTCATCTTTTGTCTCCTGGTATGTTTTCCTCCTTTATTTCTAGCGTGGTATATTCAATTACCATGAAATATATACGATACTATACTAACCCAATCCCCTCCCCATACAGAAAAGAAAAATACTCCCATCCCCGCACCCCCGAAAAAAACACACATAACACATACTTCTCACTCCCCCAGAGGACAAGCATCAGCAATTCTAGCAGGACCATACAACGAGCCCTCGATGCCCAGACCCGTGACATCCAAGCCCTGGCTATGCAGACCCGTGAAAAGAAAAGTATCTGGAAAATCCACATGGGCGGCATTATTGAAAGGAGGAGAAGAAGGAGAGAAGGAAGAAGGAGAGAAGGAAGAAGGAGAGAAGGAAGAAGGAGAGAAGGAAGAAGGAGAGAAGGAAGAAGGAGAAGAAAAAGGAGAGGAGGAGAAAAAGGAGAGGAGGAGAAAAAACCTAAAATGTTTATTACGCGCATGATGGTTTTTGCTCCGGGACAGTCGTTGGAGAGTGTATTGGAGATTATTCGTGCGGAGGAGAGGGAGAGGGAGAGGGAGAGGGAGAGGGACAGGGAGAAGCAGCAGACCTCGCAAACCCACCACCCAACCGCCCCGCAACCGCAACCGCAATCAACCCCAAACCCGAAAACAGCGATACAATCCCCCCAGCCCAGAAAACAAAAAGAGACGCAAAATCGACGGATCAGGAAGAGAAAGAGAAAGGGAAAGAGAAAGGGAAAGAATAAAGAGGGTGAGAGTAAGGGTGAGGGTGAGGGTGAGGGTGGAGAATAAGACGGATAGAAATGTAGAATACAGAATACAGAATATAGAGTAGGAGATACAGAGTAACGAAGAGAGTTATATATTACATTCATTACATTACATTCAACAGCGTACGAGTGAGTACATTATATAAAGAAGAATGAGAAGTACATTAGCATTAGCCTTAGCAAGAATAACTTTAAGAAAACGAATAGAAATAGAAATGGAAAGGGATATATCAATCAATAACTAAATACCCACTTACACACACACTCACTCCTCTATCACCCTCCCCTCCCCTCTCCTCTCCTCTCCTCTATCACCCTCCCCTCTTCTTTCCATTTCATTTCTTTCATTTCTTTCATTTCCTCTCCTCTTCTCTCTATTCTCCACTCCACCCCACTCTATTCAATTCAAATCTATTCCACACCATCTTCCACTCAAAAAGTAAAGACAAGTATCCCCGGCCCCGGCCATCAATCTGATATTTCCAAATCCAAATCCAAATCCAAATCCAATCTAAAATCTAAAATTCGAGATTTAAGAGCTAGTATATATATACATATAAACTGCATTATAACCAAACATATAACCAAACACACACACACACACACACACACACAGAAACAAAAAGTAAGATATAGAATATAACATAAATATCTCATTCATTATTATCTAGGTAATCAAAGAAGTGGTGGTGGATGTAATTCATCTACATCCATCCTTCTTTCATCCCTACTATCCACTTAATCCACCAATTCACCTCCCAGTTTTCTCCCTTTACTTTTTCCCAAAGCCCCATCCATCAAAAGCACGAAACTTTATCTCTAATCAAGATATGTTATTTGTTATCCCAATAAGATGATTGATCCTCCACATATGCTCTTTTCTTCCCATTTAACCGTATCTCTTCTCATCTCCTATCTTATTCATCTCTTTCTCTTGACTCATCCCGCTCCCGTAACTCCGACCCCACCATTCTGCGGCGGTCTCCCTGGTCCCCACCCACTATTAGAATTTCTATATTCCCTCCTATCCCCCCTTTCCCTATCCCCACTCCTCTCCCCACCATGTCCATGTCCATTACCATTCCCCAAATCTGGCGTCCTATTCCTTTCCTCCCTATAAATCTGTGGTGGGTGTTGTAATTCTGCCCCTTCACCACCCTGCCACTCTCGATTTGGGTTCATATTCTGATTCCCTTGCCCGCCGACATGCGCATCCTGCACATGTCTCACAGAACTTTCCTTCTGCCAAGCATTATTCGCCGGATCAACATCAACTCTCGTGACCACTGGAGCTAACGGTCTTCCATTCCCATCTCTATGGCCAGTCGCTTCAGTCGTTTCGACCGTGTGTCTTACACCACCGGAAGCACTGATATCGCCATAGCGTTTAAGAATTTCTTTGGTTGTGATATCGGATGTGTTATTGAAGAGGACGGGGTCATTCAGTATTGATTGGAGATCTTCTGGTACCTTTTTATATTGTTAGTCATAGAATAAATGAAGATGCAGGGGGAAGACTTACTTCACACATTTGCTCGTTACACTCAATGAGTGTGTGAACGACCTCGATTGCAAGGAAATTATCATCGACAGGAGATTTAGCATTCGTGTATATGATATTCGGTGCGATGACAGTAGCAAGATTATGAGTATCCATCTTTGATCCGGATTCTTCATCAACTTGATGGAAAGATGCAACCCAGTTGAAGAAGGAACAGAGAATTTCCAAACAGTCCCTGTGTACCTTTGGAAGCAAACAACATGTTAGATGTAATACTCGACGCCTCTTATCTTCATCGGCAATCTTTTGCGAAGCGATAAATAAATTGTGGAGCTTGAAGGTCAATAAAGGATCTGGTAAATCTCGAAGATATTTCTTGAGTAGAGCAGCGACTTGTACGACATTTTGTCGACTCAAATCTACAGCATCACACCCTCCGCTATCAATTTCCTTGACGGTTTCATTAAGTTTTCTGATGTTACCATTCTTCCTGAAGACACCCTCAACTGAAAGATCCATCTTTCTCATCGCAGCAATTGCATCATCGACGAGAGCAGGAATCTTGAGAGCTCCAGGACCAACACCATCTGTCGACTCGGCACCATCCTTTTCGACAATAACATCAAGTGGTATCCCGAAGACGCCCTTCTTCTTGACGGCCGTCTTCTTGCCATCATTCTTGAAAGCTTTACCCATCTTACCCCAGAAAGTGGGTTTTCTAGTCTCGATCAGGTTAAGGAGTTCTTCCATAGTAAAGTGACCATCCAGCATGGGTTGCATGGCGATAACTGCAACATGACGTACGATGAAGTATTCCAAAGCGGATAATTCCGAGAAATATTTCTTTCCAGCAACTCTCTGTTGTTGACGCTGTGTTTGTGCATCTAGGTCATTACCGGCAGAAAAGGTCCTTTGGTGACCGTTGATGAGTTTAGGTTCAGTGATAGATGTTCGGAAAAGCTCATGACGGGCATGCTTGTATGCATTTGGTCTTTGTTCCTTTGCTTGTTCAGCAGCCACAATTCTAGGAATATCGTCCAGGGTAAGAGCATCTTGATGACCGAACATTAATTCAGTTCTCGATTCGCCGTTACCATCACGGTCTTCCACGACTTGAAACTCGTTGTTTCTCGAACCCGATCCATCAGCCCCTGCAGAACCCGGCCTCTTACTGTCGACACCATCCATTATCCGCGAGGTTCTCGCTTTTTTGATGGTAGAAGACAGATGTTTGTCCATTCGAGTGCTTCGTAGTCGCCTTACGTCATTCAAGGTATTTTCGTAGGATGATTCACGGGGATTTTCATCAGCTGGACCACCAAATGACTTCGAACGAGCTTCAGACCTCAACATAGGAGGGTCGTCATCCGAGGGTACTTTATGACCCTCACTCGAATTGTAGCCATTGAGGTTGGGGTCATCCGAAGTATGTGGCAGAGTACCTTTGGTACGTAATATTTCCAGCAATCGAGCTAAAGCAACTCTGAGAAGGAAGACATACTGTTGCAACCTCGTCACTCGCACGAATCCTGATACCACGTCCGAAGACTGACTTTGACAATTACAACAGTATACCCGTTGTTCTACATCATCAAACCTGATGTCCTCGAGGTTCTGAGCAAGATCTCGCTCACAATTAGAGCACTGCAGGCATGCTAAATGACATCTCCTTTCTTCGAAGCGAGCGCATTCATCCTCGATCGGCTTTTGACATTTAATGCACGAATCCGAATTTGGAGCCGAAAGTCCAGGTGTTCCTGTGGTAGCTTCCAACGATCTATCATCATTCTTGATTGCATCCATATCACCCAAGTCATCAAGGAATTGGTGAAGGCCTTCTGGATCCTTCTGATCTCGTTCGACCTTTAATGCGCCTTGAAGACAGATGCGAATCAATAATTTCAGGTAGTGCGCCAAACCAGTAACCAAGGCAAGAAGTTCTTGTGTGACGCCAAGTTTTCGAACTCCCGTCTCCTGAGTCTTGGACAGGAGTGAGAAGAATGCTACGATTTTCTTGCATAATAATTTTGCTTCGCGCGAATATGATAGCCCTAACAAGATCAGTAAAAGCAGTGAGGACGTAAATTATTGAAATACTAACCCTTTGAACCATCTCTCATCATTATGCCATCCAATTTATCTGCAGAACAGAAAAGGATATCAACGTGCCATATGAACTTCTTTGCCACCATCACACCATCCATATATGCACCGTTACTAACATGTAAAAGCATGTCGGATATGCAAGCCGCGGAGGACTCTTCGAATGTCGATAGTACGCTCCAGATTTTGTAGACCTTTTCTTCCATTCTCTCCTCTTCTAATCGCACATTATTTCGACCTTCCTCGTTCGTCGTATCTTCAGATTCCTGTTGAATTTCTTGTACATCCTGCGGAGATGCCAACCTCACATTCCAGAATTTATGGATCATGTAACATTCAGGGTGCCAATGTTGATTTTGACCATTTCGAAATATCTCGACGAATTGTTTCAAGATTGCTGTTTGGCATCCATTACATCGTTGCGCGAATCGTGTCGAATAATGGTAGTGGCAGTAAACTTGACCATCGTGCTCGTAATAACTATCCTGTGCGCCGAACACTGTTGGACATACTGAACAAGTGAAATGGTCGATGTGGTATTTGCGCTCGAGGGCGGTGATATATGATCCTCGTAGTGCACCATTACATTGGTGGCATATCAGATCTAAGCGTCGGAAGTAATCAGTCTCGCAGAGGGGGTATTGTCCTTCGCCATTTTCTTCGTCTACCGGAAAGAACTTTGATGCGACTATTTGACCGCAATCCTACAAGACCCAAGTCAGAAACTGAACGCCGTTGGATGATGGCGAAATGGGATTGACTTACTCGACACCTAAAACAATCCAAATGGAATGTACCTCCAAGCGCACGTACGAATTGACCTGTCAAAGGTTCACCGCACTTTTTACACAATCTCAAAGATCCGCTGCCAGTCCTTCCAGTTCGCGTTCGTGATCGTGTGCGCTCATTGCTTGGTCTGCGACTCCCCTCTCTCATGGGACCTTCTCTACCGCTCACACTGTTTGCCGGTGATGCATTCATCCTCCTGTCTGGGCCATTAGGCCTCGGTAGATGTTGATCTTGCATTGTGATATCCCTCTCAGTTGTAAGTCTTCCCCCATCATCGGAATGTGAAGGATCATAATTTTCGCCTTCGGCATAGGGGCCTGCCTCTGATTGAGGACCCATTATTTGATGATCAACGTTTATTACCCACAACTATCTCCAGACCTTGTTCGAGCCCCCTATTATATTGTAATTTGGAAGTAATGCTTAAACCGAGTACTTCGAGTCGCGGTGGCCAGGGCGAATAATTGAAATGGAAATCGTTGATGATAGATAATTTGTCTTCGGCCTTGCAGATGGATTGAATCTCGTATGGTTCGTATCTTCTCTATGGAGAGTTGCTTGAAATTCTGACGTTGTCGAGTCGCAAGGGTTCCACTCAATTGACCTCCGCATGTGTTGGCGACTCAAAGTTCAAGGAACATTCAGCCTGCAGAACATGAAACAATAACCATCGATTGAATTAAGAAGCAGCCAAAAAAATGTTAATCTCGCAACGTTTTTCTTTTTTTCCCCCTTTTGGATCCCCGAATATTCCAAATTGTGATTTATCTTATATCTGAATGAGAGAAAGTCTAGATCACCAAGTATGTGTGTTGATTGAGTCCTGCTCGTGTGTTTTCGATAAGGACTGAGTTGTTTGTTTTCGCGTTCAGAAAGATATCGAAGGACACCTGAGCAAGTAGTAAATACTGGGTATGTAGGTCGGTCGGTAGGTAGGTGGGATGATTTTTGGGGGAAAAAGTCGGCGGTGTAGATGGGAGAGGGAGCCGGAATCAAAAACAGAATATCAATTGGTCTTCGTAATAGAATATTGTGATGAAGGTAAAATCGAGCGACTGAATGGGTGTCACTTTTTTGAAGAAGGAGGAGGAGGAGGAGGAGGAGGCGGAGGAGGACGAGGAGGTTGTGAAGGCTGTTGTGTTTCTGAGAAATAAGTTACGTAGTATCGTAGAATGGTATAGGATAGAATTGCGGTACAACTTGATGAGAGCGGTCCTACCAGATATGTGCTACGATAGGTACTAGGGAGTAGGTACTAGGTACGGGGAGGTGATGAAGTAGAAATAGCCAATTTCACAATTGAATCCGAGTTTGAATGAGCGGTTGGGCAATTGATAAAGTTGGTTGCTCCTCTCCAAAGGTTTCATTCAACCTTGAAATGTTTTGGATGTCTTGCTCAACCCGACGGGATCAATCAAACTCGTGGTAATAAGTCTGGGAGTATGGGAGGTGGTAGTAGTAATGAATTAATAAAAAAGTACCTTATTATCAAGGCTTTCGCGATTCAGGTACGGCACTCCCAGTCTCCAGTCTCCCGTCTCCAGTGTCCAGTCCAGTCTCCCAGTTGACTGAATCGACTCCCTTGCAAGATATTTTTATATACCTACCTACATACCTACCTACCTACTAGTACCTATCATTGACTCAATCTCATCTACCGGTATGAGATCCATCTGATCGCTTGGTATATTTCGAGAGGGCTTGAATCATGAATCTTTGGTAGATTTCTGGTAGATGGATGGTGTTGATATCCAGTTTCAACTCAACCCTCAACCCTCAACCCTCAACCCTCAACCCTCAACATTGCACATTCTCTCGTGACAATCTGTTCTATGTCAATTTCCCCGTCTAGAAGTCTTTCCGAACAACAAGATTAAACTTTCTGCGTACCTAGGTACACAGACGCAGGAGCATCTATCGAGCATCTGTCTATCTCTCCTACCCACGCCCACGTAAAATAACCTCATTAAAGAACCCCTCGACCTATCATCTAAATTCATTGGCATGGATCCTCTACCTCCATCGAGGGATCCATATCCGAAAGATATTCATTCATGAACCTCGGGTTCCCTTTTCCCCAGGGTGACCAGCATCCTACTGTACCTCCGTCCTCCCTAGCGAAAGACATTCCAATTCCTCACATGTGGATAATCTTATTTCTGCATTCCCCAAATCCTTCTGGAACAGAGACTCAGAAACTCAGAGAGAGAGAGAGAGGGGGGGTGGTTACGTAAGAGTCTTTCCATTCATATATCAATCAGACGGTACCTGCATCAGCTGAAATTATTCCCTTCACAATGATGCCATCACTTCACTTCACTCACACCTTGGAAACCCTCAAACAACCTTGGAAATGCAACATATAATTTCACATCCGGAAACATAACTCCGTTTCATAAAGTATGAAAGTGCCAACCAATCACATCTCATCTCTGGTCGGAAAACAAGTAAGCTTAATTTAGCTTTGATTAAATCTACGAGAAGCGTATCGGTAGTTCGGCCCATAGGAAATTGGAAATTGGAGATTGGAGATGGAAATTGAATTGGAAGACATTGATGGTACTCCAAGACGGTACAATGTAATCTCTGGATTTTCTAGAACAATTTTTGACGGCACTTATTAGAATAGAAGACTTGCTGTCATCCGAAACGCTTTTAGTTGCTCAAATACATATAAATATAACTATTTACCTAGTACTTTGTTCTAAATATATAGTTGATATCCAAAGTAGAATGCCATCGAAAATGTAACATTTTTTAAACAAAAGTCCCTGAACGAAGTATATCTACTTGACATTTGAATGTGACTTGATTTGGGCAATTCCAAATCCCATCTCAAGATATGTACTCATTAATCATAAAGGGTATCATAAGTTCATAACGACGTTTGCTGAATCCAGCCCAAATATTTCCACCCTCCCCAACCCCGAACCCTTTTGATCTACAACTGCATGATGCATGATGGATCGGATCCAACTATCGTGGCGAGGCATATGTTCTCGACTAGCGGAACATCGTTTCAACATACCAACCGCCGATATTTATCATCGATCGAATCTAGCCCGAATAATCGTCGTTATATGATTTAGCCTTTCCCCTTCTCGACCGTGTATCGGATTCTTGAGAGGCAGGAACTTTGCGATATTCCTTTTCCTTTTTACCTCCATCATCCTTGGCTTTTCTGGTGCGCTTTGCTGCATAGGGTGGATCCGAATACTCGAAGGATCTTGCGGAAGCCATAACACTGTCGTAGAGGGCAACTGAACGTGAATTGTTAGCGATGATGGAGTCGATATTGCGATTAGTACTTACACCCAGGAACAAACAACCATATTGAATTCATTAATACAAAGTATACCCAAAAGTATAATGGTTCCGGTCGATAGTATCGTTTGCCAGTGGTGTACTCATCAAGTAGACTAGTGCCAAGGTACAGCAAATTCCCATACAGTTCCCCTGTTGAAACAAGTGCTTGTACGGTGTGCCGAAATTGTGAGTTTTGGGTGATGTATACGGCTGTGAGGTAAGATAGCGGTCCCCAGAGTATCTGCCAATATCGTTAGCATACTACACATTCAGCATTCGGATAATGGCATACGCACGACGGTCCATGTCTCTATGGTCAACAGAAATGAATCTGAGGACATATATCTCGAATCGGATAAAGCATATTCCTTCCATAGTTGACCAAAGAAATCTGTCCTGCTTGCCATTCGAGCATGATTGTAGACGAAGTATCCTTCAAAAAAGATATGAATTGACCCCGCTATTTATATGTTAGGTTTCATTACAGAGAAATAGAATTGCATATTGAGCTTACTCAAGATGAACCATAGAACAAGTCCTTGATCCTTTATACTGAGTCTGGGATAAAATCTCCTCACCGCAAAAAGTGTTGCGCCGAGCACCAAAGCCCACGTTGTTCCAAAGGTGACAACGAGGATGGATGGACTGAAACTATTTTCCACATACTTTCCGGAAAGATTGATATCGACAGGATGATATGGATGATATGAGGTCATCCGAGAAAAGTAGCTGGACATCTTGTCGTTAGTTGATAGGTAAACTCATGCGATGCTCCGTACGTGAGACTCTGATAAAAACACGAGAAAGCAATTGGATTGTTGACATCTCGGATATGGAATATTGACCCCTGCATTTTCCCACAACCCCTTTTAGTGGGGACCGATTTGTTGGCATTCATTCAAAGAATAGGTAGGGACTTGATGGGACATGACAAGCGTTTTCGTAAGTAAGATCGAGTTGTACGAATACAGGTCGGTATTCCCAATCTTGCGAATCTCGTTGGTGAGAAAGCTTTACGCATCTACAATTGTGATATTTGAGACATATCACGTGACCATCGTGCTTTCATTCGATGTTTAGGTCATTGGAAGAGTCCGGCCACTTTAGAGTTAGATCCAGTCAATTCCAAGTACCAATTAACTTGCGAAGTCTGGTGGTTATGTATCCTCGGAGACGTTAGCACTTATAGAATCGCCGTGCTAAACTCAACTAGAAGAGTTGTAAAGGCAACCTTCGAAAGCCAGATTGTGTATGGCTGCCATCTCTTTGCTTTTCTTTTCTGACGAGTGAAGCATATAAAAAGAATGCAGCAGCCACCTGCGTGCACTTGATTTGATTTGATTGTTACTTTTTACGAGACGCTTTCCCCAGCCACTTTTCTCGCTTTACCTTTATCGCTCTTATCAAAAGGGGGGAAGTTCGAGTCTATAATTATTTTCTCCTCTATGATACGCTGGTTTCGTCAGCAGAATTGCCTAGGCAATGCACTGTGCTCGATTTATATTGCACGACCTGGGAAACCTGGGAATGGCCTTGTATTGAATCATCTCCAAATCCAGGAAAGGACACTTGAAACTTGGACCCCTTGTCTATATTGCAGGATACTGGATGGTCCATCGGACAGAAGATTCTCATAGGATAGGACCACTGGGGCTCACTGCATTATGCACATAGCACGCATTGTGCAGCTTGAGAGATTTCTCCATATGGCACGTTGACTGGTTAGTAGGAAGTGGTAGTAGTATACAACAAGCACAAGCTCAATCTCATCGACAATCCTTTCTTTCGATGTATATACGCCCTGCACCAGTATGCTGACGTGATTCAAGGGCGGAAGCTCTTCATTCCATTCTCTTACGCGCTCAATGATGTTCATCTACTCGTACTCTCGCTAGGGATGCTCGAGGTATGCTCCTCTTTTCAATCATACAGGTACGTAGTCATTACTCTTTACATAGGTCTATCTACACTTATTGGATTGTTGTTTTATACTCTGATACACATTTTCGTTCTTCATAGCGATCGATGTCTGCCCTCCCACCTCTTCTCATCCATCGACCGCACCCAGCCAATTATTATTAATTGGTCATATCTGAGCGAACGGATGGTCGGTCTCTTTTTCAAAGTCAAGCGCGAAATTCAACATCCTCCGTACAAGTAGACCATGAGAACACCCGGACATAATAGACTCTTCCAAACGGCGGTTTACACCAGACGACTTTCCCTACAATGTACTAGATACGCAGATACATACAATCCTTTTCGAGTCTAGCTGAAGCAAGCTTACTCTCATTATCCATCCCATAATCCATCCCATAATCCATCCCATAATCCATCCCAATAAGTTATAAGTTGCAGCCAATCACAAGTTACTTGCCACTTTAACGAGATCTATCAATCTTCCTACACAGGCGCCTCGCCTTTATTTCTTTTTATTTCTATCATTTTTATTTTTATTTTTTCGATCTTTTCCCACATGCTACCGAATCCATCTTACATTGTACTCTCCTCTGTACATTATCCTCCCACCTTCCCACCTTCGACCTCAGGTTCCATATAAGTTGATATAACATTCGTCAATCTAGTCTTACTTATTCGTACTCACGACCTCGGAACCTGCCTACCTATCTATATATCGACATTTCACCAAAGCCAAAGCCAAAGCCAAACCAGAACCAAAACCAAAACCAAAACCATATTCCATCTTTGATATCATAATCAACTCTACGTGCGCACAGCCGCAATTCTTATTATATTTATGGATGGTTTTCATATTTATTATTATTACCTATTATTGATCTGCCCTTTCTCTTTCCCCCTCCCCCTCTTATTATTACTATTACCCCTTCACCCTTCACTCCCCCCCCTGTCCACTTCACTCGTTTCAATACTCAGCTTTTATCACGCACAACCTTATTATTATTATTACCTCTCACTTCACTTACCTCTTCCTCCCTCATTTACCATTTGTTCCTTCTTATCACCTCCCCTCCCTCCAAACATAACAAGCAAACAGCGGGAGAAAGGAAAGATCAAGAAAAGTACCTACGAGGTAATCAAGAGAACGATGTTTACAATTTACGTATCTAGGTATAATTCAATCAATACAATTCAATACCACACAACACAATACTATACTATTCCTTTGCTAATTCACTAACCAACGTTACTTACTTACCTCGATATGTTGATGTTGATTTATTAACTGTTTTATTTTATTTTATATATTTTATATTTTTTTTTTTCATTTTTTCATCATTTGCTTGTTTTTCTTCCATAGCCTCTCTCCTTCACTTACTTATTACACACACATACACACACATACACACAGACATACACTCACATAAACACTCATCCTCACACACATACAACAGAATCTCTCTCTCTCTCTCTTCCCCTCAAGTACCGACCCTTCTCTCACACTCACACTAACCTAAAGCAGCATTGGATTCGTTCTTGGAGTCCTCTTCACGGATCTACTTCGACACTAGCGTTCCTCGCATTCTCACGACTAATCTTGAAGCGGCAAGGCATTTTAGATACTCTCAGGATTAGCTGCTTTTTTGGTTCCTTCCTAACTTTCTGAGTTCGCTCTTCGCAATGGGCCACTCACCCAACCAAATTCTCCCCTCTCACTTACCACTTTCTACCACAGATACAGGCACACTCACACTCTCCCTTCTACCTTCACAACTCTTCTCGAATTCATGTATTCTCGTCATTACAAATAGGATACCTCAACAAATCTATTATCCATCCTTTGCCTCCATTCGATTATCGTACAATAACGCGTAAACATTCCAAAGCGCAAACTCGGTTGAATCGTCTTTGTCCTTTCGAGATCATCTTTTCCAAGAGGGCCCTGTCTCTTCGTCCCCATCGCCTCCACTCTGGACTTGAAAACCCTTTCATTTGGGAACACGGTTTCAATTGCAGCACATCCATTTCAATACACGAGACTCGCAGAGATCATCTTCTAACGGGCCATCCTCTCCAACCGCACTACCATCGTCGATCTATCCTTCCACCTCTCGACTCACACTTCCTCTTGATCGATTCTTACATTGTTGGCATACGTGGAAGGAAGCCAAGAAGACTCACATGTTTAATTCAATAGCTGATGAAAGAGATCATCAAAATTGAGTGTCGTTTTCGCTCTGCGATAATTAATTGCTTCGAGTCGTGGTCGTCTTCGTCATGCGACTCAGGTCTTGGAATCAGTGAACGCACCTTGATCCTCTCACTCGAATAGCCATCCAAAGGCTCCTAGATTATGACAGAAAGGTCCCTATCAATCTCGACGCAGAATGCGACCCAGACTAAGCCTGTCTTCCTCACTTCTGTTGAGGCCCTTACCCACGATATTCAACCCGCTACCGAGTTGGCGGACGAAGATTACACCATCAAATGCATCTGCAACAATTGTGAGGACGATGGAAACACGATATATTGCGAAGATTGCTCAACGTGGCAGCATATCGATTGCTACTACGACCGCTCTGTAGATGTGTTGAGGCCAGACTTCGCTCATTCTTGTGTTGATTGCTCACCACGAGATCTCGGTCCACATGCGAACGAAAGATCGCAATATCGACAGAGTAAACCTACCCACGATAACAATGACAAAAAAAATAGAAGGCCGGCAGCAAAAAGTCACAAAAAGAAGACCGTGAAGCCCTCTGAAAATTATGGTTTCAATGACCAAGAGGGCCACGAGAATGCTGGCTCTCTTGTGCCTCACACGCAAAAAAGAGCGAAAGGTCATCGGTCGCATCATTCCGTTAGCTCTCAAGCTACCAAACGAAATCATAACCATCCCCCAAGCCCTAACCACACAGCAGGAAATCTGCCAGATAATTTCGAAATTCATTCCCTCTCCGTCATTTTCCACTCGCTCTATGACGTTCAATCACAAGAAATTAATACAAATACATTAGTCGATCTATCTGTCACGAGCAAATTAGCTTTGTGGATCAAAGAGGGTAAGCTGTTCGAAGAAGATGTCGGCAAAAAATTCGACGATGTTGTTCAAAAAACCGAGATGCGACTTGATCCGCACCAATTCCCAAAGTTGCACGTCGATGTCAAGACCGCTCACATCAACAATACCAATGTCCAATGGAAGTCTCTCGTCACGACAACGAAAACCCCGGCGAACAAACCAATTGGAGAGATGAATGGCCATGTCGGGTTTCAATCTGACTATCATAAGAACCCAGACAATGGGTGGGAAGAGTGTCCTCATCCACGCCCTCTTACCTTTTTCATTCCCGGATTACCCTTGTATATTGATACAAGAAAGGGAGGATCCCAGTGCCGATACATTCGACGAAGCTGTAGGGCGAACGCAAACTTAGAAACATATATTGTTGCCAATACAAGCGAGTATCATTTCTACTTGACCCTCGACAGCGCCCTGGCTCCAAACGAGCAGATTACGTTGCCTTGGGACTTCAAATTCGTTGACAAGTCAAGGCTAGACCGTGCCCTTCATCTTGATGGCGATGACGACGATAGGCTACCCGATATCACTGAAGCCGAATACCAAAGTGTATCGCATTCGATCAACCTGGTGTTATCGGATCACGGAGGTTGTGCTTGCAATGCCGGTAAAGAGTGCGCCTTTGTACGATTTCACCGTGATTACTACGGCAGAGTGCATGGTCAGCACCAACAGCCATCCAATGGTGTAAATGGGGTGAAATCAAAGAAGGGTCGCAAGCCCAAGCAGCACGTCTCTCCCACAAGTACAGGCCACGCCACCAATAGTCGAGCTGCTAGCGAAGGCCAGCCAGAGACAAACGACGACGATGATAGCCGCTCCATTTCTGGCTCCGGGCGTAGCAAACCTCACAGTCGTGATCCCACACCAATACATGGCCCTGAAGCCGATGCAGTTTTGACAGAGACGAAACGAGAGAAACGAAAGTTGATGTTGTTGGAAGAAAAATTCAAACAACTGGAACAGGAACAGGAACCGCCACGGAAAAAAAAGAGGCCATCGGATGGTTCAAATGTGAATTCCCCGGCGACTGCTACGGCATCACAGACAACTTCTAAACCCCGACAGAAATCAGTCGCATCACGAACTGCCGTTTCACAGTCGGCTCACGCAAAATCTAATGGATCCCGATCTCGTCAGTATGTCGACGCCAGCACATCGCGTCGACAATCGGGGTCACCCCTCAGCGCGACATCTTCAAAAGTTATAGCCTCTCCGAAACCCATTCGATCTCGCGATGATTCGAGTGGCTCTCGATCAGATGAATCAGAGGGCTTCCG